CCAATAATTTTTTTTTTTTTGAAATTCAAATTCTATAGAAGTGGCTGTACATAGATTTAGGGCATATGCCGATTCCGTAATAATAGTTGCAGGATGTGCATTCACAATTGTTTATTATTATTGTTGTTGCGATGTGCTGTGAAAATTTAACTAATTAAGTTAGCCAGAAAGTAGAAACTCTCTGTAAAGTAGTTTGCTTTCGAGGGGGAAAATATTTTTTTTGTTTATACGTATATAATCAAAAGTTAATTAATTAATTATTAAATAAGTGGGTTTAATTAATTTTTGGTATAAAGAGTCGGCAGGTGCACAGTGCACCCATACATAATTCACATAGCAGCCTTTTGATATGATCATGGTGATCTCAATGGAATGTATTAATCTCATTTCTTGTATGTATTTGTTTATTTTTAGGTGCTGATTAGTGATTACTTATATACTTTAAAGTTGTTGTAAGAATAAAAAAATTTAGTTATTGATCATTATACTATAAAGTTATTTCTTAACGTGTCATTTTGAAATTCTTCTGAATCCCCAATAAGCTATTCATTTAAAAAGCAAAGATAGTTTTGGTTTAAAAAAAATAAAAAGATTAAAAGAGAGAAAGATATGGCGGAATTATGTTTGCGAATGTATAATAATCTTTGGGGAGATATGCACAATCGATTGAATTAAGAAATTGAAACAATTAAACATTAATTTTTCAATTTGGTTGATTTGTCTAATTAATTAATAGAGTTATTTCTCCATCAACAAGAATTGAGTTTAGCTAAAAAGGCTAGTCCCTCTTAAATAACAAAAATTAGCACTATTTCTCTAAACCTTCTGAATACATAGATTATTATCTTCTACATCATATTTGAAATATATGGCCTCAATATAATACCTACCTTATACAAATCCACCAAAATTCTGTTTTATACTTTATTTAATGAGTAGCAGTAGCACTTTAAAAATGCATGGAATTTAACGATCCAAAAATTAATTTATATTATGAACTAACAAAATATCCCAACAAGTGCCTTATATATATATATATATATATATATTTTAAGATTGAGACAATAAATTTAGGTTTGGCAATTTAGTTGAGAGTCGTAATTTGTGCTATAGTAATCAAGTTAGAAGACACAAGTACTTAATCACTAAGTACCTAGATATGCTTGGTTCAACATGTTGCAAAAGTTGAATCAATTTTGAAACCTTGAGTTTGAATTATGATATATAAAATTGTGTTAAGTACAAATGGCGAAAGTATTTATTTTGTGGCTTTTGATAAAAACCCTCTCTCAAAGCAAGGGTTTGAATTAGTTTGAGGTAGCACAAGCTGATAATACTTTTAAATTTCTTAAGATACCGAGAAATGAAATAAAATAAAAAAGTAATTAATTACAAGTTTTCTTTTTGAAGTCAAATACTTAATCACAAGTTGATTCTAATATTGGGATTAAACTCATGATTATGTATGATAACTATTATTATTTATAAAGGTCGGAAAAAGGATTTAAGAAAAAAGAATATTGATGAAAAACTTTTCATTAATCAACATCAATGAATACAACATTCCTTCACTTGAAGGAATATTACAAATCAAATTATTCCCTTAACTTTGGTGATGAACAATAATGAAAACTAACAATGGGTGAGGACTGAGGACCATGTTAATCTTTCTTTTTTAGGAAGAATTAAATCTCCTTCTCTCTAAACACAATATGATACCTTTTATATAGAACTTAGGAATCATAACAATTAATGCGATTAACCCTAATTACACATTAATACTCTAATATCCTAACAAAGGTTAAATTTAAAATTAAGAAAATCTTAAAAAATAAATTTGAAATTGTCAAAGTTATGAAAAAATGATAAACTTGAAAAAAAAATAACAAAATTTAATTAGGACATGTTCCTTTTAATGGAAGAGGGAATAAGTCAATCCTAGACTAAATGCAACATATTACATTTATATTGTGCTTTTTTATGGTCAATAAATAATTATTTGTGAATTTTGACTCCAAGACCAAAAATGAGACGTTTTCAAGGAAGACTCTAAACGTTACGTTAAAGGCCTTTGATCAAAGATCAATTTCAAAGTCATCCTAACCCACTCATCCTTTCTGCCGACTAATTAACACGCGCACACCTTTTCAGTCTTTTATCAACAAAATTTAATATATAAAATATTGACGAAAAATATAAATAATAGGAGTCCGATCAAATTAATTTGAATGAAATAACTTTCTTGCCGCTTTTGTAATTTAACCATTGCTATATATTTTATATTATATGTTAATAATGGTTTGATAAATTATTTAATTTGTTACCTTATTTTATTAAAACATTCAAGCAATATTGTTATTAATATACTAAATCATATAATGGATAGATAATTTATCATGAATATGATCATATAAATAAAACGAAACTTATAGATATTTTAAAATGTGAAATTTGTAGAGTAGTAGTATTTGAGAAGGAAAAAAATAAAAAAAATAAAAAAAAAGAAAGTAGTAGATGTTTTTTATTTTAAAAAATTAGACTCCGATCTCTGGGAATCTGACACTAAGGCAATGCTAAAAGACTTGTGGCTGGGAACATCACGACATGCAAGCTGTTGATCTGTGTGTGGACTGAATTTTGAGGTATGTGAATATGACAAAGTAATGTTCATAATATTTCATAAATGTTAAATTAAATATTTTTAATATGGTGTTTTGGTGGCTGCAAAACGAAAATAAGGTAAAATAATGAGAGTAGGAATAATAATGGTGCGTAGAAGAGAGGCAAAGGCGAATTTAAAAAAGAGAACGTGGCAAACAGAGAGACAAAGTAAGCAAATGTTGGATTTTGGGTGTATGCCACGTGGAGCCTTGCCTTGTCGCTTTCATTCCCAAGGTCGCATCCCTTCATTTCAACAAATTCTCCCAAATTAAAATATTTTTAATCAGTCGTTGCTTGTGAGTGTACCATTCAACACTACGCCATGTTCTGTTCTGTGGTTCAATTCTGTTAATCCAGACATTGATAAGGTTATTTCAGTTGGTAAAAATATCCTATTCAATCTTTGTTATAGTGCCATTATAATTGACACACTTTCTTCGATGCTTAATTTAAAAAAATTAATCAGCTTCATACTTTTTAAAAATTATAATTATATCTTTAAATTTATTAGAAAATATATAATTTTCTTATTTTACCCCTATTTATAATCAATAACAATTACGAAATTCAAAATATAATAAATGAGGGTAAAACTGGAAGGAAAAAATAATTACTCTAGCTTTATCTTCTACTAAGAATTAAAAATTTCAAAATTTGTTTTATACGAAGGACATGAGAAGCATATAAATAAGCTTCATATGTCATATGGGTTTCATCCCACTCCTATTTATCTATCTCTTTGTAGCATTATGAGGCTGCAATTGAGATTATTTTTAAGTAATTACGAATGTTTTCATATATTTTTCTCATATAAAACTTAAATGTAATTTTTTTTTTCACAAAAGAATTGAACTTTAGTCAAAGTTAACTTGGTTGATTAAAAAGAAGAATCAAATGAAAGATTTAAGGGGACAAGAATAATGGTTAAGTTGATAGAACGAGTCAAATAATTGTGGGATAGCACACCGTTCCTTGTTCCAATAGAAAGACCGCCAACAATATTCTAAAACATCTTCTTCAATAATTGGAACCATCTGTGCTGGCTGGATCTGCTTGTAGGCCAGATCCTTCTACAGTTCTAGTAAATTGTAAATGGAAAAAATCGAAGATAAATTTTGAAAAATTCTTAAGGTGGGTCATGTCATTTATAATTTATTTAATAATAATATAACAATCAAATAATATTAAATATAAATTAATTATGACATTATGATAGTGAAGCAAGAAAATTTGAAAAATTAAAGACATGTTTGATTGCTCGAAAGAAAAAAATAAAATAGATTAAAAAAATAAAGATAAAAATAAAATGATCTAAAAGAATAGTAAACTACATTCATAAAGAAAGGAGATGGTTTAGTTTTATGGGATTGAAGATCATGATTTATGAAATTTTTAAAGAGTGTAATGATTTTTACATTTATAGTATATATTAATGAGTTTTATCATACTTATAAAAAAGATTAATAATTATTTAGTTTATTTTTATGTTAATTTTTTGAATTCATTCCATTTCATTTGTTTCTAGTACCCAAAATGTGACCTAAATATTCATTCTATTTTCATAATAAAACCAATTAAAATAATATAACACACTCTATCTACACAAAAATTTTTCAAAATCTAAATAAATAATTGAACTTAAAAATTGTTACTCTTTTTTATTGAAAAGATAAATACTTTTTCCATAAAAAATATAAGGTATTTTAAGAGGTTTGAATATTTAAAAATATAAAATATTTTTTATTTCTAAAAGTATAGTTATTATTTTTTCTAAAAATACTTTTATTAAATAAAGTACTTTATATTTATTTTAAAATAAAATATTTTATTAAATAAAAATAAATATAAAAATATAAGGTTAATTATAAAATAAATAATTATTTTATTCAAAGATGTTATTTGATTAAAAATATTTTTAATTTTTTTATCTGAAGGAATATCTAAATAGCCACTCAATGATTCGGATTAATCAAATGGGTCCCGCATTCTTACTACGTGGTACTACTGTCCTCGACCACGTCCTCTAATTCCAGCTCAAGATTCACCCAATTATTCGACTCTCCCCAACCAGAAAAAACCAATTATTCATTTGCTTCCAAAATCCCCTCCCAATAAGCTTGGGCCCCATACCTTAAGGGGCACCTAGGGCACAACCCTCAACAAATGGATCCCACCCTGAGCCCTCTCTTAAAGACACCCCACCCTTCTCATCCAATTAAAGTCCTCCACGTGTCAATGTTACCACGTGGCCTCGCTCCTATTTATACTCGCCAAAATGGAAACAGCAGAAACAGAGCAAAAGCAAACATCACTACAAGTTACGAGCAGAAACTGCAATAATGGGAGCACCTTCGGTTATCTTACGAAGCCTCTCCTTGCGGCGGATGATTCAGCCGCGAGCTCCGCCTTCCATGGTGGCTCCGTTGCCTGAGAAAAGCCGCTTCGATGAACGACTCACGGCGGAGCTAGACACTCTCCGGCCGCCGCAACAAGGCAGCGCTGGATTGATTCGATTTCTCGACGCTTCCATCGCTGCTCAGAAGATTGCTTTGGGAATGTTGGTGAATATTCCTTACAGAGATGATACCGATCGTGGAGCTCTCGAGCATTACCTCGAGACCAACGTTGAAATTCTCGATTCCTGTAATCACTTATCGGACAAAATCGAGATCGTCAAGAAGTATTTGGATTCGTTGAGAGTGGTCCTGCGTTTCGTCGATGGAAGCTTCAGCTCCAGAATGCGCGCGATGGAGCATCTGGAGTCAATTCGAGGTATAGAAAGGAAATGCAAATCCGTGAGCAAGCGTAATGGCTTGAGAAGAATCCTGAGGCAAAAGCTAGGTCACTATGAATCCGAGCTCGGGGAGATTATGAGCGGTTCTAAGGCCATGGCTTTGATGGCTTGTGAATTTCTCGAGCTTGGATTGTCGTTTGATTCAAAACGCAGAATCCCTACAATCACCGAGTCTCAGAGATCAAGGAGTTCGTCTTCCTGGTTGAGAATGTTGCTGGAATTGGTGAACCAAGAAGAAGGAAGCGAAAAGACGCAGAGAAGAAGGTGTGTATCACACTTGATCATGGAAGATTTGAGAGAGACAGTGAGATCGGTTAGGGATTTGGAGGAAGTGATGAAGGGGAAGAGAGAAAGAGAGGTGAAATCTGCAGTTGAGGGATTGAAGAGAAAGTGCAGAGGATTGGAGGATGAGATTGAGATTGTAGAAGAAAGAGTGAAGGATTTGTATAGAAGCTTGATTGATGTTAGAATGGCTGTGTTGGGGATTTTATCGCAGGCCTAGGAGCAAAAATTTGTTGTATCAGATTGATTAGATTGTAGGAAGATTGATTTTAGGGAAGTCAGTGTAGCTTCTCAAGATGTAAAGCACTAATCTTAGTTAACCCCTTCATTTTGCAATTCTTGGGTTTTCATTATGGCGAAATCATTTGATGCATGTATTTTAATTTTTATGGTTAGGTTTATTAATTAAAAGTTAAAAATCAAGATGTACCTAAACTCTAACCCTATGCTTGGTTGGAGGGGACACTAAATTTTAATGAGTTCAATTTTTTTAAAAAAATTAAATAATGAGATTATAAAATATTAATATAGAAAAGATTTAAAAAAAAAAGACTTAAATTTTTCAACCCTATGTATGTATGTATGAATGGAAATCATTAAAATCTCACATTATTTCTGCTTTTCTACATTCTAACAAAACAGACCATAAAGTGAGGTTAGCCAAAATAAAGTAAAATATGACCCAATGTACAAGAATGCGTGTGACATTGTATATTCTACATTTTCATCTTTGCTCCCTCTTCAAAGCTCATGTAAATTATTATTCCTTTTGTTTAAAAAATTATAAGATATTTTTAATTGAATCCCACTCCTAATAAATTAGTTAATTATTTTCAAATAAGTTAATGAGCATTCTGAATTATATACTATTGCACGAATAACATCATGAACCCTAACTCTTAAAATATGCAAAAACTACTTTTAATTTTTAAATTTCAAGCACTTAAAACTTCATCATTAGGTTAAAAAAATGATCATTACTTTTATAGTTGTGTGGCTCAATCGCATGTTTATGTGATACTTACCTTGACCTTAAAAAATAATGACCCTTTTTTCAAACTTAATGATAGAGTTTTAGAAGCTCAATTTAAAAGTTGAGAAGAGTTTTTATATATTTTAAAGATTTAAGATCCAGGATATTATTTACGTAATAATTTAGAGTTTAAAATATTCAGTAATTCTTTTTAAATTAATATCATTTTTTCATATTTATTTTTATTTTATAGGGTTTTTAATTAAAAATAAATATAAAATAATTTATTTATTTAAGATATTTAAAAATAACACACATAAATTATAGCTTAAAACACCTGGACTTTGTTTGATAGGAAGGAATGAAAGAGTGGGATTGAAATTGGTACTGGTTAACATCAAATTTTTGTATTCGATAGAAACGAAAATTTTAATACCAGGCCCAATCATAGATAGGAATACTCAGTATCAGCACCCCATGGTACTGCAAAAACGGGGACTGAATTTTTTTAGACCAAAATAGCCTTGATTCGCGCGACACAGATCATCATTTCAGGTCAGCGCATCTTTCTTCTTTCAGGGCGTTGGCAAGCTCCCCATCTTCTTTGGTTCATCTTCTTTGTTTTCTTTTTCCAGATCCACAGACTCAACCTCCCCATCTTCTTTGGTTCATTTTCTTCAACGGACCATGCGGCCGCAGCACGATGATTTCAGTTCCAGGCCTGGACAAAGCATGGACTCGCTGCGTTTGCTTCGTTCAAGATGAGTCGTTGCGTTTGCTCAAGATCGTCGTTCCCACAGCCGCTAAACCCACATCCACAACTTAGCTTGCTGCGTTTGCTCCGTTCCAAGTCGTCGGTTGTTGCTTTTGATTTCTTCTAATGGGTTCCGATTTTCTGATTTTGGTCCACAAGTTTGAATCCTTGGCTTTGATTTTCTCCCCATGGGTTTCCATTTTTTATTTCAGCCGATCCTCTTTTCTGGGTTGAGTACGGCTGTGATGGGAAGAAGCCAAGGACATTTGGGTCTTTTTTGTTGATTTTTCGTTGGATCTGAGACTTGTTCTTTTCGTTAATTCAAGCATTCCATGTCATATCAAGTATAATTTTAAAGTTTATTCCCACATCATTCTCATGTCCAATCTCATTACCTATCCCATTCATAATCCCATAAAACTTAATACATCATGTCAAACAGACCTAAAGATCCATTTGCTTACTGGTAAAAAATTACATGAAATAAATTAAAAAAATAAATATAAAAATGAATTAAATTATTATTCCTCTCATGATAAATATTATGAATCTTTTTAATTAAAAAAATAAATGAATCTAAAAGCATTATGATAAGTATTATGAATTCTTTTATTTTTACCTTTATTTTTTTAGTATTTATTGAAGTACATTACATTTTTTCTCCGTCCAACCCTCAAAAAAATGTTAGAAAAAAGTATTATGAATCCAAATTTCAAATGTAATAAAAGGAACTTCCTTTAAGGAAGTAAGAAAGGAGGAAGTTTGACTATAAATTTATTATTTTTAAAGGTTATCAGGATGTTAGTAATGATCTAAAATAGAAGAGATGCATTTATAAGTTCATAAATATCATTTCCCGACCATGAAGGTCCAATTGAAAATTTCAAAAACTTTTTTTTTTTTGGCTTTTGATACACATAAAACATAAACACATTTAAACTATGGGAATCTACATGCAATCTTTGAAGAATTTCAAACTGATTTTAATTGAAAAAAAATTATTAGCACTTTGCAACCTTCAAAACTTGGCCAGTTTGATTAAACATTGATACTCATGTGCCTTTCTTTTATTTCCACTTTAGCAAAGGCATTGCTTCCACAATTTCAAGATGTTAACTCAGTGCACCAATAATCTTTACAAGGTGGAAGCAGCTTTTTTTCAAACTCTAAACACAAATACATTACATTCATTTTCAGTTTGAAAAAAGTTGTTTATTAATATCCCATTTGTTTAAGATTAAAAAATAAATAATTTTTAAGTAATTTAGAGATTTTATAAAAAGAGATTTATTTTGTAGAGATTTTATAAAAAGCAGACACGATTTTATATTTGGTTATAATAATAAAAAGTAATTATTAATTAGTTATTTTTAAATTTTATGATATCTTTCTTGATTTTTGTTTTATAAAAATAATTATTATTATACTATTTTAAAATTTTATGATATCTTCATGTATCCTGCCTTTTTAAAATACTCTTTCTCATCTATCACATTATATTATTTTCATAAGCTACTTTAAAATAATAAAAAATCTGCTTTTTATTGAATTTTGATTATTTTCAAAAATTTAAACAAATATTACAAAAACTCTAAAAAAATCACAAATTTTCATGAAATAAGCTAAAACAAGCCAACCCTAAATGTCCATTTATCAAAAGTCAATTTGATAAAAAATAATTATTCTAATACTCCATTTATTTAAAAATATAAGGCATTTTTAACTAAATTTTATCCTTCAATAAAGTAATTACCTACTTTCAAGCTAACCCTATATTTTCATATTTACCTCTATTAAACACCCTAAAATAAATATAAAGTCATTACCAATAAGGACACTTTAAAAAAAAATGATTATACCTCAAAAGACTAAAAATTTCTTACATATTTGAACATTTAATTTTTTAAAAAATACTTTATATTTTTAAACGAAGGGAGTAGGATTTATGTCTGAATGCATTTTATAAAAATGAGTTTGGTAAATTAAAAATTATTTAGAAAAATAAATGTATCAACTATTTTTGGTTGCCCACGTCTCTTGTTAAAGATAATCTTGTTCGAGTTATTATCAGATATTAAATGTGAACAACTCTCTTAATAAAAATTTAAATGTTAGTTTACCCTATTGTAAGAAACTATTTCTTTTTGCTAAAACCTGTTCCATTAGTAATAAATCAACTTTTACCATTAGAAAGTAATGGAAAGTTGTTCAAAAGCCAATTTTTTTTTTGATAATTAAGCAAATTTTCTTTTGGTCAGAGATAATTAAGCAAATTTAATTAAGAAGAAATAGTCTTTACACACACTAGCCGAAAGTAACTTTTGAAAAGTCTATCAATAGAACAAAGATTTCCTTCTGAAGTAAAAAATTATTACAAAAGAACCTTCGGAAGTTTTTTTTTTTTTTTGGGGGGGGGGGGAATATCTACACAAATTTCCCCCAAAGCAATCTCATTTGTTTAGAAAAGATTTCGGGCTTAAAACCAGCAATCACATGTTCATGTGTGAGTATTTTAACTTGATTGTATAAATAATAATAATAATAATAATAATAATAATAATAATAATAATAAATAAATGCACAACCCCGGGTAAAAAGAAATCATTAGAAAATAATAATGCACTCAAAATAATAATAATAATAATAATAATAATAATAATGCTACTTCCATGAAAGGCTAACATCTATATCATCATGTTGAAGCGAAGCAGTACTAAAAATTCAAGATCTGCGGAAAGAGGCAAAGTATCTGTGTCCCCACAACTCGAAAAAAGAAAAAGAAAAAACCTATCGCCCTCAAAAAAAAAAAAAAAAGGATAAATAAAAGAACTAGTGAATTGACAAGAAGTGCACACGGGCAAGCGCATACTCATTCCCTGCAATCCAAACACCAGTTTGAGACCATTGCACATCTTCCCAGCCCAGATTTTCCTCTAGCACCTGATCCCAAATGTTAAAAGTTGATGCTCTCAATGAAACCAAATCAAATCCTTCATGCGTATACATTAGAAAAAAAGAGTGACACATGATAACAATTGTACGTAGAGCGTATGTTTTATCCTTATATTTATTTTCTCCTCTTCTATTATCTCTTTCTGAAAGTAATCACCCCATGAATGTGAAAGATTCAGATTACAATGAAACAGCACCTATGTGCATTTCTTGCCTTAAACCTTGTGATTATGAAAAAGAAGAGAGAGAGAGAATGGGAGAAGGAAGAGGCCGTGGAGAGAGAAAAGAAAACAAAAGGATCATGCAAAGGGCTTGCAAACATTCAAAGTTTCAAACTAATAACAAAAGAAGATACCCACAACTTCTAAAAGAAAATTTACAGAGATATTATTCATAAGAAAGTGAAAAATTCATGTGAGTGATCAGAAAGTACCTCTACATAGTCAAGGGGCAGAGGTATGCCAATTGTAAGCATCGTTTTCTGGGGCAGAGGCGTTTTGCAACGAGACCAGCGAAAGACATCGATCGTAACATTATTACAATCAGATTTTCCACCTTTTGCAGAATGCGAGTGGTGATTTTGAGACTTCTCTAAATCTGGGTCATGCATTCGAGCTGGTGGCATGGACTTCCTCTTCTTCTCTCCAGTAAAACATAGCTCATATCTGCAAGTCCCCCCATATATTACAAAATGTCCTCTAGGAATCCTAAATTCACCAAGACCCCAGACTACATGATAAAAGAAACTGACCCTTTACTTTCAAATACCAAAGAGTTACAAAGAAGCAACGCCGGATAATTGTTAGCAAAGGAAACTTCCTCAAATAACTCCATTTTTTTTCTCAAATGGCTAATTAGAAAGAATTTGAGGATTGAAACTTATTTGGCTATAAAATGCAGCTCCACACCAAAAAATAAAAGGATCAGAATGAAGCCTGCTGTTACACAATTAACATACAGATCACTTGCGTTGATGAACTACTGTGCCAAAAAAAAAAAAAAAACCTGCATGAATGGTTCTCCAAATACAAAACTTCTCCTTTCTTCAAGCGAGCAGATGTGAAGAGTGGTTTTTTAAGGCCCTTGTCAGCGACGATGCTTATACTGTACTTGATCCTGGTAAAATATTTTTATCATGAATGTGCTACAAGTTTTTGTCTAGTATCTAATTTAGGAAGAGTAAGAAAATGTTGTAACCCAATACAGACATATTTTAAATTAAAGCTAGCATACCAAGGCTCATTGCAGAGATTGTACTGAATAGTGACTTCTCGTACTAATTTTTGCTGCCGCAATGCATTCTGTTTGTAATGCAGACCACCATGTAGAATAATAAATTAGGATGTCAACATAGATAATCTATGTATGCGTTACTAAGTTACTCAAGAACGTGAAAAACTTGTAAAACCAGGAAAAGTATTCCTTTTTTTTTTTTTTTAAATATCTCTTTCCCCTACTTGTTCTCATGCCAAGATTGCAGTTTTCCATCTGGACATCAAAAGCATTCAGCAAAGAAAGAAAATTTTATGAATTATAGAGAATAAAAAAATTCATAGAGAAATGAATTTATTAAAGACGAGAAGAACAATACAAACATGTGGGCATGCCCTCCAAAAAATATAAACTTTACATTTTCTTTCCAGATAAAAAAATATATTAATTAGATTTTTTTTAAAAGAAGGCCACAGATAAACTGTGCCAAAAGACAACTTATGTCATGTCAATGTACAAAAAATTTCTATAATCAGCTGGAGAGATATAAAAAATATGAACATTTAAATTATCGATAGAAGCTTGATGAGCCATCATTTCGTGCATTTATTTGCCATATTAATTAGATTTTGAGTGCAAAAGGTTTTAGTCACGAGATGTGGGACAAACCGAAGCTGCAGCTCTGGTAGTTATTGTCCTCTCAACAGTCATTGGAGCAAGGGTGGGCTCTACAGTTGATGTGTGAGCAAGGCAAGGTTCAAGATCTACAGTTCCACCTTCTTTCTGAATAAAAGGGCAACGAAACCAGTAAACAAGAATAAGGTTATATACATAAGGACATGAGCAATTGTGCAAACACAGGTGTTACTATGTAAATGTGAAGAGGCAGAGTCATTCCAAGAACTAACACCCCTTCCTTTCAAAGATAATCTTAGAAAGTAGTTAACAAACAACAACAACAACAACAACAACAAGCCTTTATCCCACTAGGTGGGGTCGGCTACATGGATTGCAAGACGCCATTGTGCTCTATCATTTATTAAGCTTTTAGAAATATTATTAATTAAGAGATCACGTTCAACAACTTCCAAGAGTGTTCTCTTAGGCCTTCCTCTACCTCTCTTAATCGGACTCAAAGTTATATGTTCCACTCTTCTCACTGGTGCCTCCCTTGGTCTTCTTTGTACATGCCCAAACCATCTCAACCGATTTTCTACCATTTTTTCCTCAATAGGTGCCACCCTCACTTTTTCACGTATGTGCTCATTTCGAATTTTATCTTTACGTGTATGTCCGCACATCCATCGTAACATTCTCATCTCTGCTACTCCAACTTTATGCTCTTGCTGTCCCGTTAGAGCCCAACATTCACTACTATATAACATTGCCGGTCTGATAGCAGTACGATAAAACTTTCCTTTAAGTTTATTAGGCACCTTACGGTCACAAATAACTCCTTTAGCTTTTCTCCAATTAAACCACCCAGCTTGAATTCTATGTGAAATATCTCCACTGATTTCGCCATCATTTTGAATAATGGCTCCCAAATATCTAAACTTTTCCACTTGAGGTATAATTTGATCTCCCAATTTCACTTCCAAATTATTTTCGAATAGTCCTTTACCAAATTTACAATATAAATATTCCGTCTTACTTCTACTCAGACGAAAACCTTTCGACTCCAATGTCCTCCTCCATAACTCAAGTTTGCAATTAACCTCTTCTCTTGTCTCTGCTATAAGAACTATATCATCCGTGAAGAGCATACATTTCGGGATTTCCTCTTGAATATGTTGCGTCAAAACATTTAAAATCAAGTTGAACAAATAAGGACTCAGAGATGATCCCTGATGTAGTCCAATCTTTATAGGAAAATCCTTTGTTTGACCACTAGGCGTTCTTATACTAGTTTTTATCCCCTCATACATATCTTGTATGGCTTTAATATAAGCAATCCGTACTCCCTTTTTTTCCAACGCTTTCCAAAGCACTTCTCTTGGTATACGGTCATAAGCTTTTTCCAAATCAATAAAAACCATGTGTAGATCTTTATCTTTACAACGATACTTTTCCATTAATCCCCTTAGTAGATAAATTGCCTCTGTAGTTGATCTACCTGGCATAAAACCAAATTGATTCTCAGAAATACTTGTCTCCAATCTCAACCTGTGCTCAATTACTTTCTCCCACAAATTCATTGTGTGGCTCATGAGTTTAATCCCTCTATAGTTAGTACAATTCTGAATATCTCCTTTATTTTTATAAATAGGAATTAATGTACTTCTCCTCCACTCATCAGGCATTTTCTTGGACCGTAAAATCACATTAAATAACTTAGTTAACCATCTCACCCCTTCTTCACCTAAACATTTCCACGCTTCGATAGATATACAATCAGGTCCGTTAGCTCTACCATTTGCCATTTTCTTAAGAGCTTCCTTTACCTCCTTATCACGTATTTTTCGATAGAATGACAAATTTTGTTCTCCTTCACCAGTTACTAAATCCTCCAAATTACTAGATGAATCCTCTCCATCATTGAAAAGTTTAGAAAAATAAGTCTCCCATCTATTTTTAATTTCATCATCTGTAACTAAAATTCTTCCCTCTTCATCCTTAATACACCTTACCTGTTCTAGATCTCTTGATTTTCTTTCCCTACTCTTGGCAATCTTATAAATATTTTGCTCTCCTTCCTTCGTCTCAAGGTTCTTATAAAATTCTTCAAAAGCTTTGGAACGAGCTTCACCCACAGCTCTCTTAGTTTCCTTCTTAGCCATACGGTACCTCTCCCAATTTTCCTCATTGTTACACAAATGTATGGCTTTAAAACAGTTCTTCTTATACTTGATTTTGTCCTGTACACTATTATTCCACCACCAAGACTCCTTATCTCTCGGACCAGAACCTTTCGATTCTCCCAAAACTACTTTTGCAACCTCCCGTATCTTTTTAGCCATATCCTCCCATATGATGTTAGCACTTCCCTGAGAATCCCAAATTCCTTTATCCAAAAGATTTCGCTTGAAAATATCTTGCTTCTCACCTTTTAATTGCCACCACCTAATCTTTGGTGTTACTACTTGTCGACGTTTTTGGATTTTACTCATAATACACACATCAAGGACTAGAACCCTATGTTGTGTCGTTACAGCATCTCCAGGGATCACCTTACAATTTTTACAAAGTTTTCTATCTGTGTTCCTAACCAAAAGAAAATCAATCTGCGACCTTGAGGCTCCACTTTTGTAAGTGATGAGATGCTCATCTCTCTTCTTGAAACAAGTGTTGGCAATCTTAAAATCATACGCCAATGAGAAATCAAGAAGAGTTTGCCCTTCATTGTTTAGCTCTCCAAAACCAAAACCACCATGCACCCTCGCATACTGACCAGCTTCCCTCCCGACATGCCCATTAAAGTCTCCTCCAATAAAAATCTTTTCACTCTGTGGTATGTGTCGAATCAACCCCTCCAGATCCTCCCAAAATAATTCCTTAAGACTGGCTTCTGTCCCGACTTGCGGCGCATAAGCGCTAACAATATTAACAGTCTCACGTCCAATTATCATTTTTAAAGAAATAATTCTGTCTCCAATTCTGCTAACTTCTACAACGTTCTTCTTCCACTCCTTATCTACAATGATGCCTACTCCATTGCGTGCACTTACTTTTCCTGTATACCAAAGTTTGAAACCTTGAATATCCTTAGCTCCTTCTCCACGCCATTTTGTTTCTTGCAAGCAAAGGATATTGATTTTCCTTTGAATCATAACCCCTACAACCTCTACAGATTTACAATTTAATGTCCCAACATTCCAAGTACCAAATCTAATTTTGCTCTTATGGACTAACTTCTTTAGCCGCGTGCGTCCAGAATGACACGGTAGCCCTTGCTCATTTAACACTACATCCGGGCGCCGATGCAGCGGCTCTAACTCACTTATCACTGTACTCGAGCCATGCAGCGCGTTACTTATGGGCAACGACCTAGCATTAACATTATAACGTCTATTGTCCATGTTCATGATAGATTCAACAAATTTTTACATTGGCTGTTGATGGCCTAACACAACCCTCCTCCTTTACCCGGGCTTGGGACCGGCTATAAACATAGGCGGAGTTGTTAACATGCTATGAAAATCGTAACAAAAGCATGCCTATGGAAACAACACAGCCATCTCCCACAAATGAGAGATACCAAAAGGAATCAGAGGACAGTATATTTGAAAATGGAACATAATAAACTTAGTTATGTGACATGCATCAAAAGTAAACAAGGACGTAATGAAGGGATCATATTAATTCAGGGCAATAATAAGCATACTTTCCAGAGATTTTGTTATTACCTTCACAATGCAACATCGTTCAACTTGATAACTACAATCAATTGTTGCACACCAGATACGGGAACGGACATTGTTTCTCAGAGTAGAAGTATAACCTAGTACAAGATAAACTTAGAATCTCCAGATTATCGACAAAATCCTTCAAAATTTGACAGAAATAGCAATATTAACTGAAAAAGAGGAAGGGAAACCAACATCACTGCAGCTGACTTCCCCCCTGAATCACAGATAAATATTTCAAGTTTTCTAATTAATCATGTTGGTAAACTAACGTCCAACAAAAGGCTTGGCGGTCATTACAGTGAGCTACAGAGAAAATGCCTTTCACTGCCTTTTGTACAGGCAGTAGTTCTCAGTTGTTATTTTTGGAATAGTAGCTCTCAGTTCTGAATAGCTAACTGCCTTCCCACAAAAGCCCATGCCAATTATTTGATTCAATAGATATATAAATGGTTATGTTTCCTAATAGGGGTCGTTATATTGTTAAAGCAATTTATGTCATTTTAATTTTTTAATTGGGCAAGTTCTGAAGGTGTGCTCAGACATGTAATGACAAGTAGCTTTATTTGAGTAATATTTGTAGGCACTAAATGCGATCATCTTAGTGAGCATACAAGAATTAAATGTATAAGTTGCTCGAGAAAATTCAGAGCTTGAACTTGAGATTTAAACGATAAGTTTTTCAGCTGTGTTCTGACATTTTCTCCCTCTTGTTTTTATTTTCTGTTGCCGCATAATTCACAGGTAATGTTTAGAATGAGAACCACAAGTTCAACTGAAATATTTGTTACATGCATCATATAACGAACTATATGATGTTATACACAAGAATTGCTCTCAATAGCTCAAGGCCTAGAGAACTTAAAATGTAAATGGTCACCATTTAAAAAGCACTTTCCTACCAAACAATGTTGACTATATTAAAGGCCATAATAAAGCTATGCATTGGCCTTCACTTTCAAAGCTTATGCTCAAGGAAAAAACAAGATCTCTAAGATGGTATTAGAACCTCTATAATCAAGTGGCAAGGAGTTTGATCCTCCCACCCTCATTCTTTCTGATTAAATGAAATTCCTGCACAAAGGTTTGTGAGCCTATGCTTTTTCCACACTTCAAAGCCAAAGCGTTTTCATGAAAGGGAGCATGTTAGAGATAATAAATATATCCATAGACTTTCACATTAATAAAATGAATTGGTCCTTGACAACAATGAAAGTAATTTTATCCATGTTCTTCCTGTAATTTGGCCAAAAAACCTTTTTATAAAAAATATATATATGTAAAAAATTTCTACAGTTAAAAACATTAAACACTTTCCTGAATGATCTGGCCAAAAACCAAACTACTTGCAATAGCCTTTCAAAAATGCAGAAGTTTTGCAACATAGCAAAACAGACCCTCAAAAGCATTTAGATGTTATCATAGACAACAGTGACAAAATCTGATGTTGTTAATGAATCAACATCTTTCTGATATTCATAAAAATCAAGGCAGGGAAGTACATTCTTGTGGAGGAAGCACCCGAATGGTTGCACACAGCTCTTGTATGGTTGTAGGAGGCTGAGAAGCTGATGGTTGACAGTAACCTGTATGCATGAGAACTGCGCAACAAAATTGCCCCATCAAATACTAATTTCAACTACATTGCCTGGATAATTTTCAATCAAAAGATAACTGCATCCTTTTTGTAATAGGTAACAGCACATACCAGCAACAAGATCTGAGTCATATGTGTACACATCAGTCCCCCATAGCTGGCTACCTCTGACCTGAACAAAATAATCTAAACTCAATATGAAAAAAAATCAAATCATAACAAATTTTCAAATAGATATTAAAACCCAAAAAAAAAAAAACATTCATCAATATATACTCCATATCAGTTTAATCATACTTGGCGATTGGTAGCAGTGACATGCTCTGGTGGTATCCGTATTTCAAGAGTGGGGCCTTTCTTAGAACCTTCACCACTTTTTTCTGTTTGAGATAATTCATATTCCTTCCACAATTTTATCAATTCTTGCATGCATTCCCCGACTTTATAAACAGGCAATTCTGCATTTCCTGAAATGAGAGAAACTTCTATATGATGAATATGCAAACAAATATTAGCAGCGGCAATCTTTTCCATTCAATAAGCATTAACAATCGACTGAACATGAGATAGCAGTAGCCTATCACACAACAGTAAAGAGACAAGCAAGGGAGATCAGTGAATAAAGGGAGAAAAATAGAATCCAAAATGTACAGTAATATGTTAACTACAGAAAGTTCTGCAGAAACATTAAATAACAATGCAACATGTTCGGTGATCTAGAACAAACCAACAACTTTGCCAATGGAACAAAACATGACAGCATACCATGAGACCTGCAAAATAAATGAATCAGATAGTCACTACCAAAATGAAAGAAAATAGAGCAATAGGAAGGATTCCATCAAATCCATTCAGGACACTAATTCAAAACCCCAAAGAGTAAGACTCAATTAAACAAGAGATACAAGACAGCATTGATATTTACATCATAGAAAAGTAGCAAAATTAGCAATGTAGCACTTCAGGACATAGGGGTGAAAAAAGGAATGAAAGGGAAAAAGAGAAGTAGAGGAATAAAAGAAACCATTTGATGAGAGAAAAGGACGAAATCAAAACAAAGCTTTTGTCTAAGTTCAAGAGTAGCAGCATTTAGATCTAATCATTGTCTTCTTCAAGACAAGGTTCTCAAAGTTTAAGAACAACTATTACATCAAGCCATCAACAACTTAGATATCCAACAAGGCATTAAAGATAAGAAAACTAAAATAGAAATTATAGATCATAAGCTTATTTTTCCGAAGATTCAATATATAACATAAAAATAGAGAAAGAAGCACTACCACATAATTTTTCTTTTGATTCATAGCATCTAGGAATATTCTGATAAGTTCTTAGTTCAAGGTTTTATATTTGAGGATTTTGAGATTGATAAGGGTCCAAGTCAGCATAACAAACCCATAATCACTTATCAACGTAGAAAAAGGAGGAAGATAACAGAATCAGATGCTGTTATGCAGATTATGAGGGATTTACCTTATTTAAATTAATTCATTGCTGTTATTTTAATTAATTATTGTTTTGTTTTACTGTTAGTAACTGTTAGTAGCTGAATAATAGGACCTTCACTGCGTTAGTGGGGTACCAATGTGCTAGTCAGTTATTTCCTGATTTTAGGCTAATTATCTGCATTATTTGATTTATTTAATTGTAATTTCTGGTTATAAATATCCTGGCTGGTATGACAGCAGGATACGAAAATTAATAAACCTTGTTTTTCCCTTGGAGATTCTCCTATTTGGCTATTAAGTTCAGTAGAGTAAGATCCTTACTCTATTTAATTTAATAGAATCCTCCTTTTCCTTCATATTTGTCTTGAGCCCCTACCAGAGATGTTCACTAACAAAGTCAGTTATTAGCATCGGTATCCCTATAAATTTCAGAGTTCAAGCGCAAAGAGGCCATGCTATCAGTTTTGAATGTTATAGAAGTAAAATATTTTCAACTACTTGAAGGCAGACATTACTATCCACCCAACTGCAGTAAGAAGTGGGGATTGGGAAATTGCAAAACAAAATTCAATGGTTATAAATTTTAAAAAATTATGAAGCTTCAGCATTCATAAATCACAGTCTCATATACATGCTCTAAATTATTTGCTTACAAAGATTAAGAGAAAATTATCAAGGAAACAGAAGAATAAATATCAGAAAATAAACTTTACAAACAGTTAGGGGGAATATACCCTTCATTGTCTTGAGCAGGGGATCTGAAATGAGGCCCACAATTAGCCACTTGTGGGCTATCCCTAGATCTTTTCACTCTCTTCCGATGCTGAACACCATGATTATAGACTTCCTTCCCATTCTCAGCTGCCCCTTCCCTATCAGCACTTCCCTCTTCAGGTTCCTTGTCAAAGCTCCTACTGCGCTTATCAGGCCTGTCTCCTAAATCAGAATTATTTTCTATCCTCCTCTCTGTGGGTTCCCTGTCAATATTTTTCCAACTGTCATGATCTTTTGGTTTCTTCTGTTCTGGCAATACCTTGTCTTGCTCTGGAATTTTGACCGATGCATTACCAAGCTCTTTCTCATTATTTTCAACTTTTCCAATTTCATTACATAAGCCCCCCTTGATATGATCCTTTCCTCTCTCTTTTGAATTCTCTTTCTCTTTTGGAAGATCTCTTTCCACTGCCTCCAACCTTTGTACATCACTTCTTTGTTTTGCCTTTTCACCCCAATCCCGATGCATTACATCCTTTCCTTTTCTATCCTTCTCTTTAGATCTATCTTCACTTTTTAAATCTTTGGTCTCCCCAACAGCCACGAAAGTTTCCATGCAATTCTTCTCCTCTGCAGTTGAACCCTCCTTTCCAGCCTCAATAGGGCCTTTTGTATTCCCATTTGATACATATCTGGTGTCCAAACCTCCACTGGGAGCATCAGAGTATCCTTTTCCCCTATGGCGCTCTTTTGAGTCTTTCCAATCCAACTGACTACTTGACACACTATAACCATCCCTTTCTGTCTTAATATCACCTTTCAAGTCATGATGAACATCCCTATCATATCTGACATCTTTCTTGTCATCTCCTCTACCTTTAACATGCACATCCTTCTCATTCTTAGCAATCTTAGAATCCCTGGTAAGATCACCACAGAGCTCATTCTTCTCTGACTTAATGTCACAGTTCAAAAACTGGAGATCTCTACTATCTTTAGAATCCCTTAATTCTACCCTGTTTTCAGTACCAACAGGATTATTTAAATGTGAATCGTTAGAAGATGATGGCACCTGATGTACTAAATGAAGAGGATATCGTCTATCTGCATCATGAGATACATAATATTGTGTCTTTGCCACACAGGAGTCTTGAACTATTTGAATGTGATTTTCATTTGAAGCCGATAATGACAATTTAGAATAAGTAACAGCATCTTCACGAGGATGATTAGAAGATGACCGAACAGCCTCTTCCTGAGATCTCTTCAACATACTACTCATAATGAAAATAAATCCAGTCGAAAAATATCATAAGAAAGTAGTCACGCAGCCAAAATAATACCAATTTCTATCAATAGCCTGCTTGTCATATAACCGCTGGTACGTACAACCTGACAAAAATTGTAAAACTAAATGAGGCTGCAATAAATTTGCATGCCAAAACAGTTTCCATGAGTATTCGCTGCCACTCAATAAGAAACACTAACAAGCATTTAAACAGATTCAATCGCATGACAAAAGGTGAACTCCTAGAAACCTATGGAAGCAATCATTAGACACCGCAACTTACTTGTAGTATGAATGACAATTGGGCAAGACAGGAACAGAATGAATCATATAACTCAAAATAACCAATTTTCTCTTTGGATCGAGAATATATTGACAGATATTCAACCACAATGCACCCACACGAAAATAAGTTGAAGAAGCATAGAAGGAAACAGCTGCTTTTTATCGTCAAACCCAATTAAACTTATTAGATAAAATACGAGTACAGAGGAAAACAATGACAAAAACATGACAAGGGTCAACCACAAAACGGGGGAAGAAACAGTATTTTAAAAACAAATTTAAATAGAATTATAATTGACAAATATCCAATCTCAATGCACATCCAATTGAACCTTCTCAACTGAAAAAAGAGAGACAGAGATTAAAAGATTAGCAAAAGAAATGAAAAGAACCAAGACCAAAACCGAAGAACAAACAGCATTTAAGAAACAAAAGTTATTAGTGAATTGGAATACCGTGTGATATCCCAAGAATCACTGATCAAAACACTAGATAAAGCCAAGTGAGAATCTTTCCCTTCCAAGACTGACAAGGCAACACAACATTCCGTTATACTGCTAGTTTTCCACAAAAACAAACCAACATCAAGATTTGCACAGTGGACTCAAACAAAACCCTATAAAACGCACAACAAAGAGAGAACCTCATTCGAACGTAACCAACTTCTCTTTCTCTGCCAACAGGCGCGCCCATATGTCTTACCGCACACTGATATTGGGAGTATAGCGTGTCCCTGTGCCTCTCAAGGCCAAGACAATTGCGTGCTGCAGCATCTGGAAATTAAATTAAGCTAAAGTGCATTTTTATCGTTGAACAATTTTCCTAACATGTTAAATTCATAACAATTTTGTTTTTAAAATAATTAAAATGTAATATATTTGTTCTTGATATTAAATACTTCAATACTGATTGTTAAAGATACTAACTAAGATTAAGTTTGATGGAAAATGTCAGGTATCATATCAAATGAATTCATATGAATGTGCATTTTTATTATATTTTAATTACTTTAGATGTTAAATTACTATTTCATAAATAGTTTAGGATACTAAGTATTTTTTAAAAATTAATTTAAGGACAAAGAGGCACATTAACTTAACTTCATTTAGATAACAAGTGACATTTTTTATACAGCTTAAGTCCTGGTTTATATTTTTAATGGTCAAAGTTAAGGTATTTAATATCTAAGTAAATATATTATGTTTTAATTATCTTAAGAAAAAATTATTGCAACAAATATTTTAAAACATTAGGTACTCATCGAATAATATTTTAAGGCAAAAAATGATCTTAATTTAATTAAATTAGCACCAAAACGATTGCACTCCATCGAAAATTTTCAAAGACTAAAACTAATGACTTTTTCCCCAAATTTTTAGTATATTCTTTTTTAGTTAAAAAAATTCTATAATGTAACTTATCATTGATATTATTATTATTATGCGCATAAATGATTAATTGGTGTGATTTATTATAGATTTTAAAATGTATTAGTATTTTGATATATGGGGAGTCATTGATCGTTAATATATATAATAAAATTATCTACGTTTTTTTTTGCTCAAAACTAAAAGAAACTAGTGATATTTATAAAATAGTAACATATTATTATAAATTTTATTGTATGAAAATTGATATATTAGTTAACATTTTAAGAATTTATTTTTAATTCATAACAAGTGCTCTCTCTCTCTCTCTCTCTTTTTGGACGGGCAGACAAGGCGTGGAAAGAAGGGTTCAATTTATAATAAAATCAAGAAAACTTGTTAAATTTTAGCATCTTTTCCTATATGAATATGGCTGGGTGATAGAATTAAATTTTTGAGCACGTTTACATAAATGCTCTTAACTTTTTAAATTTAAGTTATTGTAGGATTTGATCTCACCATTTTTTATTTAAATTCTTTTACAATAATAGGTGATGGTAACTTAGGTCAATTCCAACCACATGACATTATAGCTAAGATAGAAGTTCATCAAAATTTATTGCTTTCTAATTATGGAGATCCATTGGAAGCAACAGTCTCATATACTTATTCTATTTTTTTAAAACAATTTATCTAACACTCAATATTTCAATGATAGAACAATTATTGCTATTACTATGAAAGTTATCAATCAAGTTAATGATTATATGTATTCATTGCTTCTTGGGTGAATTCCCTGAGTTCTTAAATTATGATTCCATTTACAAATCAATAAAAAATAGTAATTCTTTTGATGATTTGTACAATACCTAATTTCTTAATACAATCACTTGCTTTGAATTACCTCCTCATAAACTTTACTTAAAGGTTAAGACCCTTATAATATCGCTCCACAATATAGACCAAGCATTTGGTATGTGCAATACACACTACTCATATTGAAAGAAATGTCATAGAAGCCATAACTTTAAATAGCTCAAAGTAAAATAAAAAGGATTAATTTGTCGAATCGATATAAATCTTTCAAAAAGTATATAGTCTTTTCATATGTAAAGAAGGTAATTTTCAATAATCATTTCATTTGCAATGACGATCAACAAAAGTCAAAGATAATCATTGTGTAATATTAGGTTATATATATCAAAGTCAATCTTTACACATGACCAATTATATGTGACTCTATCAAGAATTAAGAGCATGGAAGGCTTGATAATTCTCTTACCTCACGGGACATGTATTATAACGAATGTTGTTTACAGAGAGATATTTAGGAATTTAGTGTAATGTGTTTAGCTTCTAAATCTATTCAAACGTGTTTCACTTTGCATATAATTAGATATTGACATAATCCTTTTTACATATGCTTAGTTATCACGATTTCCATACACCTTGAAGTAATAGGTTTCTTGATTTTTGAGAATGTGTTTAATCTTAACTTAGACGACATGTCTTTTAACCGAATGGGATTGAATTTATATAATTACATGCTTCCTGTGCAACACACAGGATAATAAACACTAGATATATATAAGAATATCAATGGCCATTATTATCTTGAAATTCAGCTTTTAGATTTTGAAGTGTTACATTGAGATTAATGATTAGCTCAATTTACAATGACAACTTTGATTATGTGAAATGCCATTAAAACTTTCTCCAACGATTCTTCACCCAAAAATAAAAAATACTAGTGATATAATATCTTCAAGCTTGACAGTTATTCTTATATTCTACTCCCTCTTGTCTACATTATAAGATATTTTTTTTTCAATTAAACTTGGTTTCAAATATAGGACACTTAGTACTTTTTAAAATTATTTTTTACTTTAATCTTGTAATAATTAATAGGGACATGAAATATAATCTAACTAAACACTTTGTCTCACTTTTCATAATAAAGGGGTTAAAGACATGTCTTTTTTTTTTAAAAAAAAAGTAAGCAAATAACTATTTCTATTAACAAGTGAAATGTGATTATAAGTGTTTTATAATTTGAAATAAAGAGAATATTTTGAACTGTATTATAAATAAAAGGGCATTTGTAATAGAATTGAGAAACAGACGAGCTGAGCCCTTATGACCTCAAGTTGATGAACTTGATTATCCTGAAATTGATTATTTTTTGAATCCTAGCTTTTAGTCATAGAATTTAGGGTTGAGCCCATAAACATGTTTTTATTTGTTTTTTTTTCAATTTTTAAAAATTAAAATTTTTAATTATAATATTTAATACTCTTTTTTAAAATACAAATTAGTATGTTCAAAAATTTAAAAATATTTTATTTTATAGGATTGAAATAAAAATGAACCATCTGAGTTCGAGCTCATTTTTCAATCAAGGCGTAAGCTTTAAAACTTAGTTTTTTAAAAATTATTTTTTTAAGTCTAACTTTTTATAAAAATAAATTTAAATAGATGGCTCGTTAGATCTCACCTTCATTCCTAAATCTAGATTCATTGATTGGACTCTCTGTTTTTTGGGCCCTCTGATCATTCTGAGGATTTAATCAAGTTGCAATGGGATCTCGGAAAAAGAAATGGGATGTTCTATGATGAGGCATACGCTTGTGAAAAGAGCAGCAAGAGACGGGCCACCTTCCTCTCTTTTTCTCAATCTATGACTGTAAATATCAGAGTTTATTCAAAGTCTCACTATTACTTTTATTTTGAGGTCACAGAGTGGGTGCCGAGATGTGTTGCTCAGATGCTATGCCACATCACCCGACCCCATCTTTTCAGTTGTTGTTAGAAAACATAGTAACAAACACTTACAAATTGAAGTTACTCTCTATGGTTCAGAAATTGGAGAGTGAATCTAGTTCAATTACCTTTTTGATGCCATGATGGACTCAGCTTTGAATAATGTCCTGAACTCATCCCATAATCCCCTACCACCATCCTAAACAATCCCAATCGATGTTCCTTGTTACTTTTGAAGCATATCCAGCACCAGGAGCTCCACAGTTGGCTAGGAGGGTGAAGGAACTCCTCCAAGCATCTGGTTTCAGCCATGTCGATGAAGATCGGACTCGAGGACTTGACCATGGCGCCTGGGTTCCTCTTATGTTGATGTATCCTGAGGCTGACATCCCAGTGTGTCAACTTTCTCTTTCATCTAACAAAGATGTGACATATCACTATAACTTGGAGGATGGAAGTGTACTGATCATGGGTTCTGGAAGTGCTACTCATAACTTGAGCACAATGAAGCCTCCTGGAAGCCCAGTTCCTTCCCGGGCATCAGAATTTGATACTTGGTTTAAGGATACCCTTCTTGACGGAAGGTATTGTTCTTTGTGTTTTCATATTCATAAATCATATTGGTTTGTGGCATGCTTGAGCTAAGTAAGCAAGTTGTTTGGGTTCTTCAGCTAACCGTGTGATTTAAACACTAAGGTGTCAACAAAAGATAGCACAACCAAATGTGGTAACTGTGCTGCAGTGTTTTTCTCAGGAAACTTTACATTCCAAAAGGTCTAAAAAATTATACCTATTTTTAATAACGAGTTACAACAAGATTTGTGGAGACTTTCTGCTTTAAGAAAATTTTTATTAAGATATTTTAAATCATTGGAAATAGTAATAGTTATTTTGAGATATTTTAACCTAAAAATTATATAGTTTTGGTTCTGAGATGTAATTCTCCCAGAAATAGATCATCTAAGTGGATGCTTGTCAAGCCAGCCACAGGCTATTTGCTCTTTAGTAAAAAGAACTCCTCACGTCGTACTCTGTACAAGTGTACATTGTTTTCCCCTCTCATTGGGTTTGTGTAGTATTAAAAACTGAGTCAATTTGGTTGGAGATGTAATTAGGGATTTTGCTTTAGACTGTATAGTTGTGTGCTTGAAGTTGAGAATTGGTAATGCAGATACGAAGATATAAATCATTATGAAGAGAAGGCACCTCATGCGAGGAAGGCTCATCCCTGGCCTGATCATTTCTTCCCATTGCCCGCAGCCATTGGAGCTGCAGGCGAAACTCATCCACTATAGCTGGGGCCTTGGCACCATCTCTTATGCCTCTTACCAGTTTTCTGCTGCCACCTAATTCTAAACTTTGATGCGTTATAGTTGGATAAATTTGCGAGAGTTGTATAGTGCATGAAGAGGTGGTGGAACAGATCAGAAGAAATGCACTGCACTGGTGTGTGTGTCAATAAATCCCACTATTTGAAATATTCACTTGGATTAATCTTTTACTTTTGATTGGCTCATTGTACCATTGATTTATATGCTATATTTACATAATTGTTCAGTGAATTTTTTTTTTTGGTCAGTAATTGTTCAGTGATTTATTATTTTTTGTATTTAATATTTTTTAAGGAATTGGTTAATGAATCTTTCAAGATAGGCTTAAGTTTATAGAAACTGGCAGGCTTCTGCATATTTCTATTTTCTAGGCATAGTAGTCAAATGGTTATTTATAATGTAAATAGGAAAGTATGTCTTTAAATTGTAAATCTTACTTACTAAATCTCGATCTGAAAAAAAAAATTAAATGATTTTAAATGTAAAACTTGACATTTTTATATCTTCATAATAGATTAAAATTCGAGATGATAAATCTAAACCTTTTTTTTTGGCCAATTTTTTGCTAGAAAAATCCAACATTTAAACATAAATATAAGGAAAAATAACAATAAAATTTCACTGAAATATATAAATGACAATTAGATTCTTCTAAATGCCATAATTTCTCTGAAATTCTCAAGAACCTTTTTGACATTATTGATTTTAAGTTAAATGACTAAATTGCCCCATGTTTAATATAAAAAAATAATGGGTTTATATGAAAAGTTATAATTTCTTGCTCAATTCTTACGATTTACAGAATAAAAGTTGTGATTGGTTAAATAAAAATTATAATTGATTATTTTCAAAACTTAAACTTGAATAATAAAATAAACTTTACATGAGAAATTATGATTTCACATAATAAAAATTGTAATTATTTGAATAAAAATTGTGATTAATTATTTCAGAACTTGAATTTCAGTAATAAAAGAAATTTCACTCAAGATATTGTGATTTCTTATTCAATTTTTCTAATTCACAAAATGAAAATTATGATTATTTAAATAAAAGTTATGATTGAAACTAATTATTTTTTGTCCTTGTTTATCAATCATAAAAGAAATTTCATTTAGAAAGTTGTGATTTTTTATTTAATTTTTATAATTCATAGAACAAAAGTTATAATTGTTTAAATAAAAATTGTGATTACGAAAATGGAGCTAAACCCTCTATTTTTATTTAGTCATTTAAATAAAATCATTAATTTCATAAAGTCATTTATGAATTTTAGAGGAATTATGACAATTAGATGTAAACTTGTTATTTATCCATCATTAACTTGCAACGTAATTTCAGAAATAATATAAAATAATTTTTTTTTAGCCAACTGAAATTATTTCAGATAAACCCACCGTAGAATGTGGTTAAAGTTAATGATTCAAGCCTTTCTCATAATATATATAAGTAACACTAATAATAATAATTATTATAATAATAATACAATACTCTCTTCCCACAAAAACAAAACCTCTGATTTTAACTCCCCATCTTTGCATATTTCAATATATAGTTTTGGGAAAATAACAGAATTAATTACTCTGTATAGGACCAAATAAATATGATAATACCCTACAAGATCAAATAACCTAAATGTAATCAAAATTTATTGTAAAAAGATAAAACTACCCCTCATATGTGTGTACAACTCCAAAAAAGTAACTTACTAGTGGAGAAAAATAAGTATTGTGATTTGGTAAACAAGTCTTTATTTAAAAAAAGTTCAATTTACATTTTAACAACAACCAATTTTTTAATTAATAAGTCCAAAAAATTTACTTAATAGTGGATAGAACCAAGTGTTGTGATTTGATAAATGAGTTTTCATTTGAAAAAAAAACAAGTCTTATTTTTATTTTAACAATAATAAATTCTCCAATCATAAAAAATATATAGAAGAGGTAGTTTTATTTTTTCACAATAAATTTTAATTATAATTAAGTCTTTTTTATTTTTTCAGTATAATGAAATTCATAAAGAAGTCAAAATATCGACATCAAACACCAATGAGTGATAGGATAGGGATAGGGTCATGTCATTCTATTCATTGTTGTGCTGGCAATTTTGAATCTGATAATGACAATGGAAACCTTGCTAGAACTTTTGGTGCATTGCAATGTCGACGAAGGCGGTCCGAGAAATACAAGCACAAATCTACGCATACACGCAAGAAGTATATAGATACATATAGTTTTTAATATAATGAAGTAATATCTTATCTTCACTCGGTGGAACGTGGAAGAGATCAAAGTCAAATGTCAAAACTTTGAAAATGGGATTCCTTGTTTCCTTACAATGGCGGATAATACCAAGTGCTGTTCCAGATGCTCTGTTTATAAAAGAAATATTCACATTGTTCATATATAATTTAGTATAGGATATCAAGGAAGAAGAAAATATGGGAGTGAAGGAGACGTTTTACATATCACATGGCTCTCCCACACTTTGCATTGACGAATCGATTCCGGCGAGGCAGTTCTTGACGGCATGGAAGGATATTTTCCCGCAGAAGCCTTCTGCGATTCTGGTCATCTCTGGTCACTGGGACACCAAATTCCCCACCGTCAACGTCGTCGATCGCAATGAAACCATCCACGATTTCTACGGATTCCCCAAAATCATGTACCAGGTTTCGCCTCTCTCGTCTTCCACTTTAATTACTATCCATTCTTGTTTGAATTTGAGCATTGACTGGGTATTCAATGAATAGCTGAAATATGCAGCGCCGGGGGCTCCGGAGTTGGCGAAGAGGGTGAAGGAGCTTCTAGAAGCGTCGGGGATAGAGCGCGTGGAGGAAGACAGGAAGAGGGGGCTGGACCACGGCGCGTGGGTGCCACTGATGCTGATGTACCCGGAGGCGGACATCCCGGTGTGCCAGCTGTCGGTGTCATCGCACAGAGATGGAAGCTTTCACTATGAGATGGGAAGAGCGCTGGCGCCTCTGAAGGAAGACGGAGTTCTGATCATTGGGTCTGGAAGTGCCACTCATAACTTGAGAGCCATTGGTCCTCGAAATAGCCCTCCTCCAACTTGGGCTTCTGATTTCATCGCCTGGCTGAAACACTCTCTTCTTAATGCAAGGTAACTTCCATCTCTGATTACTTGTTAAGATTACAAAAAATTGAATATTCACTGACTAAGATGATATAACATTATAATCCTATACGTAAAATTTACAAATCAAACCAACCTATTTGGGTGATGAATAAACCTCATTTTGCAGACTTACCTGGGACCAAGATCTTTGTTAATTTGTGATCTTTCCTAAGTAGGGTGAAACCTCATAACTCGATACAATGATGTGGCCTGATTTAGAATACCAACTTGGTGATTAAACACCAATCATATCGTAATATTCCAACATTACTCAAGCATGAAGTCTTGGATTCGAGCACGTGAATGTAAAAATGAATGAGTTGACTTTGCAGATATGAAGAAGTGAAGAGATACGAAGAGAAGGCGCCGTATGCTCGAATAGCGCATCCGTGGCCGGATCACTTTGTGCCGCTGCACGTGGCGTTGGGGGCTGCCGGAGAAAACGCAGAGGCGAGAGTCATCCATGAAAGTTGGGATGGTGGCTCCTTCTCTTACGCCTCCTTTGGATTTAAAGCAGGGACTCCCACTTGATCTGCATACGCATTTATGTTCATCCACTTCATGTTTTCTCTCTGGTCTCTGTTTTTATGTTCATGTCACAAGATTCAGTAAACTTCTTTTTTCTGTTTTTTTTAGTAAAAATATGATGTGATGAAAATCATTTAACGTTAAGAACTAAAATATGTTCTTACCCATATATGTATCAGAAAATTCAATTACACACACACCACAATGGATTCTTTTTTAAAGATAAATTATATCTAAATTAAATAACCCTCATCCTGTTTTAAACTTTATATTTTATTTTTTAGTGATTTTTTACTTTTATATTTTTAATTAAAATGTATATCGTCCTAACATTTCATATTGCTATATATAAATATAAATGGGATAAATTGGCCCACTGGCCAAAAAAAAATATTGTAATTAAAAATTTAAAAAATTTATCATTGATATAATATTGTTGACAAATATAATAAATTGACTATAATGTAAAATATAATAAATATTGTACTATTTACTTAATTTGGTTCTATAATATTGACTTTTGCATATATAACTAATGTTATAGGACTAAACCAAATAAATAACTCAACATTTATTATATTTTATATTATGACTAATTTATTATATTTGTTAATGATACACTAATGTATATTAACTTTTTATAAATTTTTAAATTTTCAATGATAAATTTTTTGTATATCAACATTAATAGACCATACTTCCAAATTTTCAAAAACTTTGTTCATATTTTTTGAGTACAAAATTTTTTTTGGCTAGTGGACCAATTTATCTAATAATATTTTAATTTTAACAAATTTATTATCATAGTCACACTCATTAACTATATTAAATTAAACAAACTTAGCCTTTTTCACAATTATTAATATTAAATAATTTAATATTCAAAATGACTATTTAATAAAATTTCATTCTATATTTAATAATAATAATTGTCATATTTAGAAAATATGGTGTTCAAGCTTAACTAAAATGGTTAAAAAAAAAACAAAGGGTGAAGGAAATTTAGCCAAACCGAAAATATCTCTGCTTCTCTAAGTTTCTCTCTATAACCACCCCCACCTCGCGTTTTGTTTTCGTATTAATGTGAAAAAAAAAAACTGTTGATTATATAGTTTTAATGTGTTTTAGTATATAGTTTTGTAGGTTTTTTTTGGGGGTTAATTTAAGCCTTTCCAGTTCCTGTTAGTTCCTTTATTTTTGAACATGTCTAAAAGAATGGCAAGGTGTAATTAACAATGTTAATATGCTTACCTATAATTAGTAACGTTATTAATTTTTAATGAGATGGAAGTATAATTTAACAAATTGAAATATGAAATAAAATAGGGTAAACAATATTGATAATTTGCTAAATAATAATTCCACCTCACTACAAATTAATAGCATTAATCATGCATGTGAATATATATTTAACATTGTTATTGTCATTATAGTGGAAATAAGAGGAATTGGTTAAGGATTAAAGATATGGGCAAAAAAGTTTTACTGCGATTCATGCATTCTCCAACATTACAACGGGATCAAACCTAAGGAATTGAGAATAATAAAATACAAAAAAAACACTACTTTTGATCCTTATATTTTGTTCAAGTATTGATATAGTTTTTGTATATTTTATTTTCAGTATTTTAAATCTTTATATTTTTCTCTATCTACAATGTTAGTCCCCTGCATTTTTGAAGGGATGTTGATGTGGTACAAATAAAATTAATAATATTAATATGTCAATTAACATTATTAATTCTATGCTTTCGATATGGAATTTTCAAAAAGTAAAAATTGAAAAAGCCTACATTTTTCTAATCATTTAATTAATGATAGAGGTTAATCTTTTTTATTTTATCTTATGTAAGTTTTTTTATGTTTTTATTAAAAAAATTTTGTTAGTATCAATTTAACATATAAATACAAAGTTAATGATATTAATTGATATATTATTATTATTAACATCATTTATGCTACATCAACGCTACATCAACGTTCGTTTAAAAATATAAAAATTAATATTATAGATAAAAAAATATAAAGATTTAGACTAAATGGAGGGACTAGAAGCAATGTTCCCCAAAAATAAAATTATAGCAACTACAACTAAAAGTCAACGACCAAAACCTGCTATTGTATTTCTCAGAAATAGTCAACGACCAAAACCTCATGTGGAGGCTGGTTAGGTGGGGTCCGGGGGAGATACTTCTCACCTTCCTACCTACCTATATTAGGATGGGATCTGTTTCCATTTTCTAACAAGAGCTGGCAAAAACTGAATCGGTTTGATATATACGTATATAAGTGACAGAATGAATAACCAGATTCAATCATCCAACACAAATCTGGTGAGAAGGGGATTAAAGATGCAAGCGATCAAGGAGACGTTCTACATTTCGCATGGATCGCCGATGCTGTTGATCGACGAGACAATTCCGGCGAGAGGATTCCTCCAGAATTGGAAGAAGGACGTGTTCCCGCAGAGGCCTTCCGCCATTCTGATAATCTCCGCTCACTGGGACACCGACTTCCCTTCCGTCAACATCGTTCCTCGCAACCACACCATTTACGACTTCTATGGCTTCCCCAAGTTCTTATACGAGGTTCGTTCCCATTTCTTCCCAGCTTCTCAAACTTCAGATCTCTCTCGCTGTGACAAGATTTAGGGGCGCTTCAGGGATTAATTTCTTCACTGATACTCACAGTAGCCGGCGATCGATCTCTGAACTGAAACTGTTAGTTACATTGTGCAGTTGGAGTATCCGGCACCGGCGGCTCCGGATTTGGCAAGGAAGGTGAAGGAGCTTCTAGAAGCGTCGGGGATAGGGCGCGTGGACGAAGACAGAACGAGGGGGTTGGACCACGGCGCGTGGGTGCCACTGATGTTGATGTACCCGGAGGCTGACATTCCGGTGTGCCAGCTGTCGGTTTCATCGCACAGAGATGGAAGCTTTCACTATGAGATGGGAAAGGCATTAGCTTGTTTGAAGGAAGAAGGCGTTCTGATCATCGGATCTGGAAGCGCCACTCACAATCTGAGAACAGCTAGCCGGAGTGCCGTTGCTGATGTTCCTTGGGCTGTTGAATTCATTGCCTGGTTGAAAGACTCTCTTCTTAACGGAAGGTACTATTATTATCATCTTTGCTTTCATAACGTATGGTAATGAGCCTTGTAATGCTACCAACGAGTCATAAAATTTAACGTACTCTTACACACTGGAGAAAAACTGAATATGTAAAGCCTTTTAGGAGTAACTGAAACTTGATAAGTTGGTCCCCAAGCAATATCATCAATCTATATATGCTGGTTTATTGCCAAATTAATGTTTAATTTTTCAAGGAAAAGTTTGACATGAACAATAATTATAATGGTAGATGAAATAATCATAATGGGATAAAGAAATTTAAGCCTATAGCTTAACATGTACTCTATTCTGTTTGATATATAATAATTTATTTTTTAGAATTGATAATTCTCTTTAGAAACACTTTGCATTAAAAGATTGATTATCAATTACTTTCTTCTTATTTTATTCTTCCATAATTTTTTATAATTAAATAGAGTAAGAAACTGCTGCATATACGGAGGGAAAAATATTTTAAAGGTGATACGTTAATAAAAATAAAATAAAAATTTATTTGTTTAATAAAACATCAATATCTTAACTTCTTTTCCTCGTTCCAAGTAAATTAATTAGAGATTATATATATATATATATATAGAGAGAGAGAGAGAGGAGAGAGAGAGAGCTATATGAAGTATACTTTTAGATGAAAAAAAAATACATTATTGGCAAATTTATAAGCATGTTGATTAATTGATTGACACCCTGATTATTTTCAAAGTTTGTGATGGAGGATTGTAATTTGCTTTATTAGCACTCTACAATTGAGTTGACAGTAGGATTATATTTTGTTGATTGGAATGTAAAATGAATATTAAAATTGCAGATACGAAGAAGTGAAGGAATACGAAGAGAAGGCACCGCATGCGAAAATGGCACACCCAAAAGCAGAGCACTTGTTGCCATTACACGTGGCATTGGGTGCTGCCGGAGACAATGCGAAAGCCCAAGTCATTCACGACAGTCTCCGTGGGGGCACCATTTCTTATGCCTCTTTCAGCTTCACTCCTCAATGATTATCATTATACTTAAGGATCCATGATCTTCAGTTTAATTAACTCTCCTAATTTCACCTGGGATAAATATATATATTTGATCATCACTGTAATTATCCTTTTCCATCATCCCAAATTAAAACATCCATCGTGTTTACTTCATCTTTTACTGTGTACATGCAACCGCAGAACTGCAATATATATATATATATATATAAAGAATCCAAGTATTGGAGACTCCCTCCTAATTTCTACATTATTGTCATTTATGTGTTTTTGAAATTGTATTCAAATAGAGTACTTATTAATTTGTGTAAACCTTGTTAGTATATCGTATCAAAGTATTTTTTGAAAACGTTTTTGAATTTGAATGTATGTCATAATAATGCTGATTAATTTTCTCATAAAAAGGAAGAATTACTATTAAATCTCAAATAAAGAAATAAATTATTTTGTCAGTCCGTTCACCAATCAAAATTTTATATGTAATGTTAAACTTTAGGTGAACATGATTTGTAACTAATAATTTTCTTATTTGAAATTTATAGTAATTTCCTAAAAAATAATTATAATTTAAAATCTTAATTACATGTTCACTCTTCATATGTTTGATCTTTTTAAGTAATTTTTTGATTAATTAATAATTAAAATTAATTTTTGTTAATTGAAGGGGCAATGTACACTGTAAATAATTTTACAATCCTACAAGTAAATTTAGAGGTAAATTTGCCATTTAATTCAATATTAAATAATGATATATTTAAAATTATTGGCAGAGTTTCTTTACCAGACCAAAACACACACACACACCTAGAGTTTATTGGGCTTGAGTTTAGCTATTACATATCTGAGAAGGATTTCGAACCAAAAACATATTTGGATTGGGTCAAGGATAGTCTAATGATCTCAATTTCACATGACAAGTACAAACAATGCAAATGATCAAGGATACATGATGTTTTTTAATGAATCCTGAATGTTTTAGGTGGTAACTTCTTAACAAGTATGTGTAGGTTGCTTCTTTTGATTTATTTTTTTATGTAGAAGGTTGAAATTATTTTTAAATGACTCAATATCAAAGATATATACGAGTACCTTTTTATTAATTTTACTCGATAACTAATTATCTTTAAAATGTTTATCTTTTAGACATTTACACACAGCTTGGGAAATGCAATTAATACATAAAGAATATTGGTTACATTACTAAATTTACTCCTAAGGCTTAATAAATATTGTTTTGACGTTGTTGTAATAAATAAGAGTATAATGAGAAAAAAATCTTAAAAAAGACTTCTTAAGGTAAAAAAAAATTCTTAAAAGATATATAAAATGAAACAAAAAAATTCCCTTAAAAAGACTTATTTTTAAGTAGAAAAAACAATGGTCTTAGTTTAATTATTGATAGATTTTATAGTAATTAATTTTTTTATGTGGAATTTCAACGTAATTTTCGTTTTCTATATGAACCAAATAATACTAATTTTATTATTTTTCTGAACACTTACTTTATTTTCAACTAAGAAATTCCGATCCCGCTAATGATTTGTACCTTATACACACACATACTACTCCCTCCGTCTGCCGTTATATGAAAAAACTGACAAATGCTTTTCTATTACAAATAAAATTATAAAAATCAGGCACGGAAACATTTATCATTATTTTAAATTATTCCCGATTAAAATTAAAAGTTTATTTTCACCAGACACAAACAGAGACTTCACATCACATATAAAGATTAATTACAAATATATTTTAATCCAAAATTTTAATTTCAAATATTATTATTACAATTAACTTACTTTTTTTACACTGGACGAGTTGGTTAAAATTTACTTAATATTTGAACACAATAAGAGCATATATTTGGTAGGATTTTAACGCAAACTGATAGAGTGGGCTGAGACCACCAACCAAATCTCAGGACCCTCCAACCCACTTTTAATTATAAATGGATTTACTCGTCGCAAAGCAAGGGATGATGATACCAGCTGTTCTTTATTATGTTTGGTTATGTATGATTAATCTATCCTTTTATAAGATCTTAATTAAGGTTTATCACGTTTCACAGTGTAAGCAAAGCAGGCATACATGAACTTCGCTCTTTTTAATTGTATGTTCTCTTTTTTTACATTTCAATCCCACCAACAAAAGACCTCCCTGATCTAACTTCCAATAATCCATCCATTAAAAATAAATTAATTTATCAGTTTGATTATGAGCAATAATTGACATGCAAGAGTTTGGTCTGACCTAGAGATGACAATGCAATAAGAATGAGATTTCAGATAAATATTGAAATCGAAACAAGAATTTATTTACAACCCAAATTTTATCTTGAATACAATCCTATTTAATATTAGATTTGAAAAATATTATTGATAATTTTGTAAATTAATATTTGTATATAGGAAAGATATAGTTTGGAGTTATTCCATTCCAACTTTGTCGTTTGAACCCAGAATATAAAGGTTGTATTTTCACTGATCCCATGTCAAATTTCAAGTAACATTGACTTATTCAACTCAAATAGAAGAGGAAGGTAGAAAAACCTGTAGATCAGACCTAAGTTGTTATCCCTATTCACCATTGCCATTTTACATTTGTACTTCAAAACTTTAATGATAAAGTGACCTTTTATGATGTTCTGATATATGAATCGTCTCTCTTCTCTTTTTCACTCCTTAACATTTATATTTAAATGGAGAGCTCTTTGTTGCTTCACTTGCAAAATTCCTATCCATACTACAATTCCTCACTCACTTCTATCCTTCACAGTCCTGTCAGGAGTTTTCTTCTATTTCGTGTCAGAGTCATAACCATTTCCATGATCGAATCCCTTTTCTTCTCAAGAGTAATCTAAGGTATTGTTCTGTTCTAGCTATATAAAGTTTGTAATTTTTGTTCTGTCTTGTAACTTACTTTTTTTTACACTGGACGAGTTGGTTAAAATTTACTTAATATTTGAAACACAAAAAGAGCATATTTTTGTTGATGTTGACGCAAATGATAGAGTGGGCTGAGACCACCAACCAAATCTCAGGACCCTCCAACCCACTTTTAATTATAAATGGATTTACTCGTCGCAAAGCAAGGGATGATGATACCAGCTGTTCTTTATTATGTTTGGTTATGTATGATTAATCTAATCACTTTTATAAGATCTTAATTAAGGTTTATCACGTTTCACAGTGTAAGCAAAGCAGCATACATGAACTTCGCTCTTTTTAATTGTATGTTCTCTTTTACATTTCAATCCCACCTACAAAAGACCTCCCTGATCTAACTCTTCAATAATCCATCCATTAAAAATAAATTAATTTATCAGTTTGATTATGAACATATAATTGACATGCTAAGAGTTGGTCTGACCTAGAGATGACAATGCAATAAGAATGAGATTTTCATATAAATATTGAAATCGAAACAAGAATTTATTTACAACCCAATATTTTATCTTGAATACAATCCTATTTAATATTAGATTTGAAAAATATTATTGATAATTTTGTAAATTAATATTGTATATAGGAAAGATATAGTTTGGAGTTATTCCATTCCAACTTTGTCGTTTTGAACCCAGAATATAAAGGTTGTATTTTCACTGATCCCATGTCAATTTCAAGTAAACATTGACTTATTTCAACTCAAATAAAAGAGACAGGTAGAAAACCTGTAGATCAGACCTAAGTTGTTATCCCTATTCACCATTGCCATTTTTACATTTGTACTTCAAAACTTTAATGATAAAGTGACCTTTTATGATGTTTCTGATATATGAATCGTCTCTCTTTTTCTCTTTTTCACTCCTTAACATTTATATTTAAATGGAGAGCTCTTTGTTGCTTCACTTGCAAAATTCCTATCCATACTTACAATTCCTCACTCACTGACTCTCTCATAAACCCAGTTTGATCTCAAAATGTTCTATCCTTCACAGTCCTGTCAGGAAGTTTTCTTCTATTTCGTGTCAGAGTCATAACCATTTCCATGATCGAATCCCTTTTCTTCTCAAGAGTAATCTAAGGTATTGTTCTGTTCTAGCTATATAAAGTTTGTAATTTTGTTCTGTCTTGTAACATGGACTCTAGCAATTATCATGTTGAATGTAAAAGGGCAAGCCCTTCTTCTTCTTCAACCATTAATGAAGAGCTTAAAGAACAGAAAAAAAATAGTAGTAAGGTACAAGGAATGCCTCAAGAACCATGCAGCTTCAATGGTGGACATGCAATTGATGGTTGTTGGGGAGTCATTTCTTTAGAAGAAGATGGCTCTCTTGAGGCTTTCAAGTGCTCAGCCTGCAATTGCCACCAGAAACTTCCACAGAAGGAGATTCAATGCTATTATTCAAATTCCTCCTCCTCCAATACTTTCTGTTATAGCTCTGATCAGCATTATCTCACCCCATTGCTTCCAAATACTCCTCAGATCACAAGCCCCATCATTCTGGACCATCTTTTATTGTCTCCCAAAAAAAGTGGGTCAAATCTTTCTGATCAGTCACATGATCGAGATAGTAATAGGGATCATGGGGAAGAAGATCATAGGAATCACTATAAAGAGGTGGGAAAACTAGGAGATGAGAAGGTGACGATGAAGAAGAGGTTTAGGACTAAGTTCAGCGCAGAACAGAAGGAGAAGATGATGAGATTTGCAGAGAAGGTTGGGTGGAAGATTCAGAAGCTTGAAGAATCTGTGGTCCAGAAGTTTTGTGAAGAGATAGGAATCAAGAGAAGAGTCCTCAGAGTTTGGCTGCACAATAACAAGAACACTTATGCCAAAAACTTGCGTACCACTGGTTAAATGTAGCATCAGTTTCTAGCTTAATGGATATGTTTCTTTGATTGGTTTAGAATTGTCTTTTGTTCTGTCTTGCTCTGCGATCATTCATATTTTGTTTCATTTCCTGCTTGAAGATTTTTCCCATTTATTCATATTATCTTGGATCCTGCGTATTTTTCTTTCTGAGAACAATGTAATTATATATCACTATATATTTTGCAACTAATTAGCTTCCTTTCTCTCAAAAATTCCCACGCCTCTTTAATTAGATTTTGATCTCTTATGAAAGAAAGAAATACGTTCTCTGAACGAATATATTGCATGAAGTTCTTGATGCTTATACTACAATGATAAGAAGTTTTATCCAACTAATGAGGTCAAACATATAAATATTACAATGTTATAATGCTCTATCAATAACAACTCTCAAAATATTCTCTCTTCTTTTAACAAGAAACATTATTTCTCAAATTTATCTTAATTATTAATTTAATCTCTTAAATTTATCGTAATTATCAATTTGATATTTTTTGCTAAAAGAGAGGAGATAACATAGTTAAATCTACGAACATGAATAATAGATATTAATTGCAGCTATGTAAATTAGTACAAAAATTAATTATTTAAGTAAAAAACTCAAAAATTTAAAAAAAAAAAAACATGATGTAAGGAGGCTTGATTGATAAAATTAAATTGAATTGAAGGCTACTTTATTCACATCCAACTATATACATCAATGTGTGTGTTAAGTCATTAATATACCTTACATGTTATATTAGTGTAATTTCTATTTTAAAACTTAAAGGCTAGCATGATAATTTAACTAAGTAAACGACAAGAATCAAGCTATACTGGATTAATATTTCAAGGATTAAATAAATAATTGAGAGAAAAAATTATAGATTAAAATAAGATTTATTCTTATTTTTTAACAAACTTTTTGGAACGTAAGTGTCATCCCCCAAATTTCAAAATGTATTTACTAGTTAAACATCAAATATTTTAAAAATTCAAATTCTTCGTCATCTTAGTAATTGTATCTGCTTAAGCACATTACACAAGTCAAGGCTATATATATTATGAAGCTAAGGCTATATTATGAAACAATGAATACCTAAGTCCTAAGGCATTATGTGATACCATGCATCACTAAAGACTGTGTTTTAAAGTGGGGAAATTGCGCAGAAAGGGTCTTGTATTTTCTTCTAAGAATGCGCAGAAAGGAAATTAACTTTGAAATGAAAGTCTATAATTGAACTTGAAGTCTTCCCCGGCAAAGCGTTAAGATTATGGCTTTGGATACCAATTATAGGAAAAGTGATTAAGAATAATTTTTTACAAAAAAATATATGATAATCATGGGCACTAATTGATGTTTCCATGATCCTTTTATGGTTGTAAAAAGCTAACAGCAATTGATAACCAGAACTCAATTATCTAAGGCGGCAGGTGGATTTGCTTCGTGGCAAATCTTTACACTTATTTATTTATTTTTTAAAGTTGATAATTAAAAACCAATTTAATTAGCATGAGTATTAGGTCTTTTGTCACTTGGAAAAGTAATTGAGGGTTTCATTTTCAGCTTGGTCTACCCTTAAATTGGCAAAAAAACATTCCAGATCTCAGAAAAAAGTTGAACAATTTAAAAATGTTTGTATTTTTTATCTTGTTTCTTTCAAAATAAGTATATTAAAATTTCAAAAAGTGATAATATATAAATCAGCTTTATTATTCAAGTAATCCATAAGAATGTATATCCATTTTTTCTATTAAAGACATTCTAGCATAGATTCTCTCTAGCGGAGACAATTAGAGTAATCTTCACAGAAATATGCGGAATGAAATCAATATGTTGCAACTTTAGGTGGGTGTAAAATATGTAGACGTCAACACAAAAAAAAAAAAAAAAAGAATTTATGTGCTGTGTAATGTGTTACATGTGAATCCTAAAAATAGAGTAATACTAGATTGCCCTATATTTTATACTCCTTTCTCTCAAATAAATTTTAGATTCACGAAAACTTAGAGCATTCATTGGCGCATGGGATGTATGATGGACCTAGAGATATAATTTGCTCATATCAAAAAATTTATCCTTATTTGAATGAAGAGAAAAATAAAGGGGGAATAAAATTAGAAGGAAAACTTCTAAAATAATAAAAAATTTACTTTTTTTTAATTTTTCTTAGTTTTATCTTCTTTTTTTCTTCCTGCTTTTCCTTCCATCCAGGCCAAGCCTCAATAAGAAAATAAAGTCTCTTGTCCAAGAAATCATCAAAGAACAACAGGCTATGCTGAAGAACAAGATCAATTCACACCTCATTTTCACTGTTATTAGCTAAATTAATAAAATATAATACACTTACAATTATCATCAAATGCAAATATCAAACGATCTCAACTATGTCATGTAAAAAAAAAAAAAAAAGCCCTCAATTTTCCCAATCAACACATACAAAATTGGTGAATTTGGTACCTAGAAATTTGATGATTCCTATTTCCTTGTAACTGCTTACTATCCTATTCTTCATAAAAATATAATATGAAGGAGAACATTTCCTCAAGTGTCCAACAATATTATGGAGATCTGGAAAACATCGTCGCATTATGCTTTCGTGAAAAAGTCTGATGATGACAAATAACTAAGAAACTTTACCAAAGTATTGGAGAATCTCAATCCATCCATGGTGGATTAGGAAACAATGCTAGAGTGTTGTGATTATAACTTACAAATCAGTGTCAAAGCAAGTAGCCATGATTTTTGAAACCATGGCTCTTGCAAAAGGGATGTAGCTCAAGCTATACCTGTCAAGCACGAGATCAGAAATGGGACGAATTATCAGATTGCAGGAACAATAACAAGCATAAGATGAAAATAGGATCATCATACTTCATTGTTGCAATTCAAATTCAATTATTGAAATGGTAACTACATTTTTGTTAAGCAGATACTTTCGAACGTGGACATAATTTAAATAGGCTGACTGACTATACGGTGTTATCTTCCTATCCTGAAGTATTCAAATAAAAGCACATCTAGAAGGTTTAATTTGTCATGTCAATGACTACATTACCTTAATTATACAGCAAAAGCAATTTTACAAACCTATCAATATGACCACGGGAAGATATTAATTTGGATCCTGAGGTAAAGGCACAAGGTAAATTTTGGGGGTGGGGAGAGAGGAGGGAGTGTATGGGGCTAACTCAGTGAGTCCTATCTACTATCACTCTCCAAATTTATCTGCTGCAATTAGAGAGTAAATGAAGAGAACTGAAATTAAATATGTTACTAAGGATAAGGAAATTCATGAAATTTTTGTCATACCAAACTAGAGCCCCAAACTCCAAAATAATTGCTAGAAGTGTCAAAAGTTTGTTACGAACCTGTCAATGCAAAAAGGGGAATATGATCATGGGCAATATGAAAGAAAGAATCCTTTTGCAAGAACATTATGAGTAGATATAATGTGACTTACATATAGAGCACAAAATAAGGCGATTATCATACTTGCTAGGTATAGAGCTGTTGCATAGATACGAACAGGATCAAGCATCATTGTCAGCTGCCTCTTGGGACCAATGAGGAATGCTGTGCTGCCATTAAAAGACTCTAACTTAGCATCCGAAGAAACAGAACAGCCATGGAACTGAGTTTAACAATAAGTATAAAAGAGGGGCCGCAACAATTCAATTGAGATTTTTAAGAGCAGCATGAAATATTAATGCACAAAAAGCAATCACATCATTATCAAAAACTCGAGTGAACACGAGAGATGATGAGAGAAAAAATTAATTTGTAAGTTAACAAAAAAACTCAGATAAACCCACAAACAAACTTCAGCAGAACCTTCAGAGAACTTAACTCTAGCACTAGCAGTCCTCTCAACCAAATTAATCCAGTCACTTATAGCAGAGAAGAGTTGATGATGTAAATTAGACCAAGTCATCTTAATTTTCAGGCTTGGTGATCTTAGCATAGTAATATACATTTATTTATAAAATTGTTACACCATAGTTAGAAGAAGACACATTACACTATATTTTATCAGCATGGAATTTCATCTCCAAGAACTGAAAGAATGCCGCATGAAATCAGTATCTTCTAAAGCATTGATAGTAAGATCCAAGTGCAGAAGGAAATGAGAGAAAATGAGAGAGATATCTTGTAAGAAAGGAGGGCAGCTCCTTCCTCCTCATTATCAAACTTCTAAGAAGCAATGGCTTAGAGGAGAAAAGATGAGAGGGTAGTATCAAAATAAGAGGATGGATAAACGTGTTCCCACCAAAAAAAAAAAAGAAGAAGTTCAAAATTCATGAATTCATAAGCTGTGGGAGTGGAAGAGCGTGAATGAATAGAATGATCAAACAACATCATGGTGTAATTATTCCTTTGTAAAGGTAGAAGATACCTTCCAAGTGAAAGCAAATTGCCAAGAGTGAATGTTATCCCAAACTTGATTGGATTGAAGAAAACGAGCATAGACTGTAAGATTAAAAACAAAAATCAAACAACTACCATCTTAACAATTACACATGTATGCAAACTAAATCTGAGTTTGGAAACTGATAACTTCATGAATCTAGATACAGCAACATTCATTATGATTCATAAGCACAATATAGACTAACTCTTGAAAATTAGGCAATTTGAAACCAATATGCAAAAGCAAAAACTAGTAAAATTTTGTAACTTCTAGCTATTGACCTTTGGAAGTTCTGTTTTACTTCTTCCAAATCCAATGCTCACTGTTTTTGATAATTCAGCTTACATAAGAAAATGCAACTTGCACGACCCTGACAATAAAAATTTAAACGGCTAAAATGCCTAAATGAGCATTTCAAAAGAATGTTTTTCAAAAGCTGCAGTACAGGATATCAATAAGTGATGGTATGCTTTACAAAAAAAAGTGATAGTTTAGAGGAATTCTCATTAAAGAATGAGTTTGTCGGAGTCAGCTTCATAAATCACAAGATGCCCATAGTACATCCTCTAGTTTTACATTTCACAATTCAGTTCTGCCTTGAGCAATCTAAAAGGATGAGATCATCTTCTAAAAAAAAAAAAATTCACCTCATATTAGATGAGTTAAAATACTAAATAGTTCATCAGTAAAATCACGGTGTGAAAAACTTACCAATAGTGTAAAAGTAAACCCAGCAACAAAACATATGGCGAAACCATATAATCTCTGCTTGATCACAAGCAGTGAGTTGATTAGTCAAACTGTGGAAAGATGTAGTATACAGATATCAATCAAACTTTTCAAATTTCAGAGTGACATGTGAAAGTTTGCATGAGAAGGTAAACTTTAGGATGGTGACTTATAATATATAAAAGCTAGAAAATAAAGAAACAACAGGGCATGATCCAACAAGTGCAATGGCTAACATTTAAATAAAAGATCGTCATTATCCTCCTAAAATAATATAAGTAGACATTTTAATACGAAATATAAAGAAAAATTTATCATCACTCGAATCCCGTTTTTTAATATCATTATTTTTGCTGAACCCCACATCGTCCATTAAGTAATGTATTCCAATAACCATCTCATTTTGTAACTATCTAATATGTTTAGCAAATAAAATTGCAGAAGTGTGGGAGCCATGTAACTCCTCCAGTTTATATCAATAATTGCATCCCCAACATAGCCAAACTTGCAAGAGGCTGTTTTCATTGGAAGAATTGCAGACAGGCTTGGAACTTCATGACTATCTACTTGCACCCCAAGCTTATCTGCTTGCACCTTGTCCTTTGATTCTTCAGCACAATTTCAATCCTAAGGAGGGACATAAGAGCAATTACCCATTTCTTTTAAGAACATTTTTTTTTTGGAACTAGAAGGAGAGGTACTAAGGCCCTGAAATTATAAGAGAGATTGAACCAGCAGCCTCTCACTTAAAAGAGAGCATGCATGCAATTAGGCTACAAGTTCATCGGCTTTCTTTCAAGAACATTGAAATAGTTTTTTTACTATAAATGTCAGACGGAACAAAAATCAACCTTTAGCCCATGTTTTCTACTAGTGTCCAGTCAGATCATGGATTTTTAGATATCCTCTAGCTCATTGCCACCAATCACTTACACAAAATAATGTCCGGGTTGATTTTAACGCAGTAGATCAAGTTAAATTGAAACATCTCAACTTCGAAACCAACGAAAACGTGGACTCAAATGTTCCAAGAACGAAGTCGTTAGAGCCAAGAAAGCGAAATGAGTTATCAATCGCAAGGGATCGGCGATCAGACATAAGCCGCTGAATAATAATAAGATAAATTTTATTCACCAATTTCCCATCAAAAGAACGAAATGAAAGCCAACTGAACGAATTCCACAATTATATCTGAAGTCCAGCGTAATAATTTTCTCGCTTCTCGGTTACAAAATCAATCAATTATAGAAATATCATCAGTGGATTCCATGCAAGCAAACACCTGTTTGTGGACAAGGTGCAGTTCTGATTAAATTCATCCATGAAGGAGAATGAGTTGCTCTCCTCCAATACTGCAGTTTGTTGTTCGTCTTCCACCTCCATTCCCACCATTTTCTTAACTTTCTCGACAGCTTTGTTCATTTTTTCCATTATTGTCCCGCACTTTCTCGAGAAAATGATATATACGATGGATCTGAGAGAATTACCAGGACGAAATCTCAATTTAAAGGAATAATTTGGAATTGATGACGGACAGAGTCTCTCTGCTTCACTTGTGATGAAACTCCACTCCGGGCGTTTTTTCTTTTATTATAACGCGTATCCTGTGAACTATGCATGCATACAAATTATACTTCGCTTTATAAATTATTTTACCAAAACTATGACTGCCAATAAAAAAATAAAAAAAAATTAAAAGTATATAAAATTTTAAATATATACAATATAATATTTAAAAAATAATTTTATATTATTTTTTTACTCTTATGAAAGATAATTTTAAAAATGCTTGTTAAATATTAATTAAAAAGTCATACTATAACTTATAAATAAAATTAATATATTTTAAAATATGATCTTATAAATGAAATTGAAGAGAGTATATATTAATCTATGTAAGGGTGTTTTAAAGCCTTTATGGGAGTGTCTCATTTTATTTTAACAAGAGAATGATAAATAAGAAATTTGTAAAATATATTAATATCAAATAATATTTTTTAACTATTAATGTTTTTAAATTTAATCTTCTATACTATATTTTAATATTTTTAATTTGATATTAATATTTTATAAAATTATTATTTGTCATTCTTACTTTTTTTTTTTTAAAGTCATCTCATTCTAATAAAAATGGGGACAACGGGAGAGGATCAAGATGGGACCAGAATATCCTGATAAAGCTGACATGCAGGGAGCCAAGACAACTTTTGGACAAGAGAAAAAGCTAAATATAATATTAATTAAAAATATTAAATTATGTAACTTGTTAAGTATAAAAAATGAGATTACTTCGTGTTGCTTGTATTGCTTCTTCCGTGCCATTTTCGAATATCTTCCATATGAGAATTTTGGAAAGCCTTCTATATCCTACCTTGGGAAATAGTTTGTCTCACTTGACGCCCTTATTCTAACAATGTCCATTTATCTATTCTGCTCTTGTACCAGCACTTGGGCAAGTATGCATTTGTTGCTGTTATACAATTTAGGAAAAATATCATTTAGCGACCATGGAACCAATTTAATATCAAAATAAAAAAATGATAATAAAATATTTTAAATTATGCAAATAATATTTTAGTCTTATAAAAATCATAATTCTCCCTGAAATTGTTAAGGGATTTTCTATTATTAAAAAATTAATATAAATGATAAAGTATTCATAATTCGAATATTAATTTTCATTCACAATTTTTAATTTAAGATTCACAACTTTTTTTTTAAATTGTAAGAATTTAACAATAATTTATAAGTTTACACTTGAAATCCTGATATTTCTCAAGTGTTGCAAATATCAATTGTCATTTATAATTTTTGTTCTAAGATTCATAACATTTTTTTTTTAAATTGCAAAATTTTGACAACAATTTGCAAGTTTGAATTAAAAGCAATTTTATCATTTATATTAATTTTGTAATGATAAAAAAGTTTTTAAGCACTTAAGAGAATTATGACATTTTGAGCGATCAAATACAAATATCATTTACACATACAAAGGAATTTTATTGTTATTTTCTCTTTCAAATAAGGACAAAAAGATTCTGAAATGTCATTCCAAGAACAGAGGATTAATCTGAAAAAAATTTTAAATGAAAAAATTATAATACATTACTTTTCTTTTTCTTTTTTAAAATTTGTCAACTAACAAACAGTTTCTTGTTAAATATAATGGATATTTTTTTAATTAGTAAATGATTACTGATTAAAACATCATCTATATTTGTTCTTCTCCACAACCTAATTTTTTTCAAATTCTTGAACTTATCAATTCTCAAATGTTTTTGTTAAATGAAAATAGGTACTTGTGAATTAATAAATAATTACTTATTAAAACATGGTCTAACTTGTCCCTATTAACAATCAAGTTCTTTCAAACTATTAAACTTGTCAATTAGCGAATGACTTTTTGTTAAATGCAAATAGGTACTTATTAATGAATGAATGATTACTTGTTAAACTTAATCTACACAATTATCCCTTCCCAAAATTAGTTCTTTCATATTTTTAAATTATCAATAAACAAATGACTTCTTGTTAAATGTAAATGAATATTTGTTAATTTAAAAATGACTACTTATCAATTAAAAAAAAAGAAAGCAAGAGTATTATAGTTTTTTTATTTAAAATTATTTCAAATCAATCCCTAATCTTACAGTGATATTTTAAAATTTTTTTATCTCTGAATGAAATTAAATACCTTAGTGGTACTTAAATGCTATTTTCCAATAATTCATAGTGTCATGGCAGCTGGAAGAAAATTCGTTCCGCACAATAGTTGTCTTCCTCTTTAGACTTGCATCAATTCATGGGAAAGAAGTTAGAACATCTAGTCAAAAGAAAGAAGAAGAAGAAGAAGAGTTAGGACATTAATTTTATTGTTGATATTCTTTTTCTCGATTTCTTGACTAAATCTGACCTAGGGTTTTTCTACTCGTGATAATGAGATGGTCATGTATTAAAAAAAAGAAAATAAAAATATACACTAAATATAAAGAAATAAACCATAATATAATTTATATAATAAAAGATATATATACATATGCATATAATATATGGGACGAGAAGTTATCTTGAATCTCATCCTGTCCTAAACTCTTTCATGTCTTGTCTCACAAAGTTTCATTCACTTTTTTTTTGTTTTTTGTTTTTTTGTTGTTGATAAAGACACGTTCTAACATTATTGAAATGGAGCTAGGCTAGATGCAACAAATATAAAGTTGAACACTCCTAAATGCGTGTATATATATTCAGTGAAATGAGTAGGAAATGACATCTAATGTAATGTAATTACTTAAGAACAAATAAGTTATGCTATTGGTATTGAAAAATTAAACAAGAGTTTTGATTTATTTATTGTAGATTTTTATATAAAGTCAATTTGATTTGATTGATTGAGTCAAGTTGATGTGAGTTAATCTTAACCCTTTCAAATCAATCGAATTGTGGATCAAACTTACATGAAATTAGATTTTAGATTAAGATATTTCAAATCAATTAAATTGAGTCAGGGATCAAACTTACATGAAGTGATATTTTAGTGCCAAGGGTCTTTTTTTTAAAAAAAAAATTGTACACAAAAGATTGTCACGAATTCTAATTTGTTTTGGATCATTTTTATCTTTTAATTTAAAAAATTCTTCCTCCCAACATCCTGACATTAATGCGCTTGACATTTGTCAGTGTGGGTTTCACTTTTAAATTTTTTAATATTTTTATTATAAAATATTAGTTGTAAGCTTCACGTTATATTTTTTTATAATTTTTCTCATCTCCCTCTCTTAAACAACTCTTCACTGTCTCCTCTTATTCATCATCTTCTAACTCATCTCCCTCTCCCTCCCTCCCTCTATGGAACTCCGATCTTCTAACACGATCCACTGCATTCACCTTCTCTTTGGTTAGCTCTATGCCTGCAAGCTTATCGACAAGCGCCTCCTCTCCTATCCCACCGGATGCCCTTGCATGCCTACACAATGAACTCAAATACATGTCTCTCTCTTTCCTCACCCCAACATTCTCTTAGCTTGCCTTCGTTCTGAGTCATCACCTTCATGGGCTGTGCCAGTTTCACTTTCACCAGGCTTCTCGAGCCACCTTGGCTTGGAGCATGAACCATGCAGAATGACTCCCATAAGTGCAGCAAAGCCTCATCACTACATCTAGGAATCTTCTACGGTGCACCTATCTCGCTTCTAGCTTCATTCGGATAAGAAGGGCATGGAGTTCAGATTATCTCCTCCAGCATCGCCTATGGTGCACCTTGATGAAGAAAGAGGAGGAGAAGATCACGAAGAGAAAGCTTGAGTACTGCATTGAGCTATGGAGGACGTTGGTGGAGGGGAGAAGGGGGGGGGGAGAGGGAGAAAAATTGGGGACAGTGAGGGACAGAAGCAGAAGTAGGATTGAAGGTTGTTGTCCCATGCATGTCGAAGCCCCATCAAGCACCTCCCACAACTCAGTCGAGAGACTATCCCTTTCACTCAAACGCAGCGCGAAGGCCTCCAGAATTTGACCGTTACTCATATAAAGCACCCGTTCCCCCCGCATTGGTTTTAGAGCACTGCACAGTCATAGGCTCGGGTTCCTTGGCTAATGGTGCCACTGTCACTCACAAATCAAGTGGCTCGTTCAATCGAGTGTGTACAGACGGGATCCTCGACTCCACTGGGATAGTTGGTGAAATCTCATGAAATGCTTCTGCAAACCACCTTAGAGAAGGGAAGCTACAATAAGCTTCACAGCTTCAAGCCCATCATCAATGGCTTCTCTGTTCACCCCACCCATCGTAGGCCCTCTTTCTTCATCTCTCCCCAATTCTATCCTTGAAGGCGAGCACCGAATGAACTTGGAGATGGTGTCGGCCACAACGATACATGATATATTGGGAGAGGAGAGAGAAAAGGAGAGGATAAGAAATATATATTAAAAAAAAGTAATGTGAGGTCTGTAAATAATATTTTATAATAAATTTTTTTTACATTAATGGGCATCAGACGAGTTAACATTGAGGTGCTGGGAGATAGCCTCTTTTAAATTAAGGGGAAAAAATGACCGAAATTAAGTCTAGGAACCCAGATCTTTCGAGGGGCAAATGTGATTTTTAAGTCTTTATATTTCCTCTCTACTTCTGTGATTCAAGTTTGCTTTCATTGGATTGTTGAAACCTGGTGTGGAGGCTTTGTACAAACGTCTGATCGGCATCAAGAAGTAAAAATCTATTACATGCGAAGGGATTTCTTCCAAGCTCTCCTGAACAAAGTCACCAATCGCACTTTGATTTAGCAAGGTTACTCTTCACCTAATGCAATGCTTTACAACTGTCACTGTGTCAGCCTCCCTGCCTCCATCGTTTTCCTTTTTAATCCTCTTCCTGCTCCTTTTATTTGTAATATTTGGCCCAAAAAAAAAATCAAACTTCCATACATATTTCCATATTTTATTAAGACATCACCCAACAATTTTTTCTTGCATGAGATAGACTTTGGCATAAACTACATTATTTAATATATTCCTCTCTTGTAACTTCGTAAATCGCGATGCCAGCCCCTTTTTCTTGATTTACCCATAATAGTTTATGTGCC